CTAAATCTTTCCTGTGGGTTACTGGAAGTTTCAAGGCTTAATATTTGCATCGAACACCCTGAACATGTTAATTGACAACACTCCAAATTCAACATTTGCTATTCAGAACTTCAAGGCTACTATCTGAGGATTTTGGCAAATCGATGTCTCCTGCAAAATGAGCCAACTCATATGGTACAATGTGTACAAAGAAACCGAGGCACAAAAGAATATATGTCCAACTACTACTAGAAATAGTAGTAGTGCTACCACATTGGTGTATTAGATGAAACTGGATAAAATTATTTCTTTGTCCACAGAAGTAAACTAGAAAGAGTTGAAAATTTCAAGAATTTGAAAAAAGTTATGTGTTAAGGGAAGTTTTGGAAAGGTTTGTGCAAAAAAAGTTATAACCTTGCACAATTTACTTTATGTGGAATAAAATGAAAAGCTTTCTACTCTTACAATGAGAAACTTTCCTCTCCTGAAGTCTTCATGACAACCAGTCAGTGGTTTTAATACATACAGGTTCAGGTCGCAGTTCTTCGGTGTCCAGTACACTCATCAAACCTTTTTAGTATTGTACACACAAACATAATAATCTTTTATTAATTAGAATCAGATATTCTTCTTTCCCTTTTTTCCAAGCAAAGGCGCCAAATATCACTAGATATAGATATATCGTGGTATATAACAAATGCTACCTCACTCGCATTATTTTTAGTGATTTCTTGTTGGAGTAATATGAAGCTAATGACTTAGATATAGTGAAAGACATCTTTGTTCTCTTTCATATTACACCATCTCTAGAGAAAAAAAAAAAATCCTACATCATTCGAGGACTTCAAATATTATTACACGGGTTTGCTAAATTTTTTTCTTTTCTTCTAGGCTTTGCAACAAAAACAAAACAAACTTGTTCCAGCAAAGCTCAAGGGATTCTACTAGATATTCGCAAATAAACTATGAATAAATGCACCCGGATATTTGCGTCAGCAAATAGAAAGTGATGAATTAAAACACTTCATAACTGCGAACAAATCTTCAGCATATATGATATACTAAATTTTATGTATCAGGTCTAATTGTATATCTGAAAGGTCTTTAGTCAAGGCAAACATGAAAAGTTGATGTTGCTATCAGCTTCCCTTTGCCTCTATCTTTTGCTATATCTTTTCTTTTCCCCGAATTATATCAAGACTCATTTTTCGTTTTGTTTAAACTTTGTCTGGGCAAAAAAAACAGTAAACAGCCTGCGCTTTTTCATATACACATTTCTCCTCTACTTTGGTGGAAAAAAGACAAGTTTTTCCGTGGAATCGAGTAGGGAAAGTCTGATGTTATGAGCCCCACTCCACTAGAAGTTACGAGCCCCATTTTTCAAAAGTTACGAGCCCCATTTTTCAAAAGTTAGGAGCCCCATTTTTCAGAAGTTACGAGGTATACTAGATATGGTAAAAGTTATTCTAGGTCTTTGATGCGCAACAAGAAACAAGAGACGTAGTGCATGAATTTTGAAGAAAAATTAGTTTTTTTTTGCAAATACAAAAGATAAAAAAAAGCATCCTTCTGTCCCAACTTATTGTGCAGCGCTGTTTTTCAACATGGCCGCTTTCCACCGAGCACTGTTGTTATAGCAAATTATGAGTTCAAGGAATATACTCTTACTTTTTAAATAGGCTAAGTTTAGTTCAAATGTTCCTATAATTTAAGGGTAAGAAGTCACTAAAACCCTATGGTTATATCTGCATTATTGCCTTGTCGTACTTTTGTTTCTTCCTCCTACCCCACCCCCCACCCCACCCCACTTTCCCTTTTCNCCCTATGGTTATATCTGCATTATTGCCTTGTCGTACTTTTGTTTCTTCCTCCTACCCCACCCCCCACCCCACCCCACTTTCCCTTTTCCCTTCTCCAACTACTCTCCCTTTATTTCTTCCTCCCTACATTTCTTCATGGTAAGTGAGGTCAAAACTCATCATCAGATATGAGTGAGTCTCTTTGAAGTTTTGTGTACTTACCATAAATAGAAAATGAGAGCTTTGCATAAATCCGCCCTTTACAAAAGCTATATAAAAAAAATAATCTNCCCACCCCACTTTCCCTTTTCCCTTCTCCAACTACTCTCCCTTTATTTCTTCCTCCCTACATTTCTTCATGGTAAGTGAGGTCAAAACTCATCATCAGATATGAGTGAGTCTCTTTGAAGTTTTGTGTACTTACCATAAATAGAAAATGAGAGCTTTGCATAAATCCGCCCTTTACAAAAGCTATATAAAAAAAATAATCTTTGGGACCTTTTTCCAATGCATGGATAAATCGGTTTTTCCATCATATCTTTGTTTTGTGTAACGCGGTTATTTATTATCGTTAGATCTTTTTTTTTATTCTCTTGAGAGTGACATGTTGAATCAATATACGAGTGTCACTCATAGAAAATGAGATTGATAATTTCATCAACATCTGTGGTTATGTTAGATCTTCAAAATGATCCCCACTCTCCATTGCCCTTAGTAGAGTTATGGTTTAGATATATGTGACGGTCTATTAAAGAAAAAAAGTCTGTATGGCCTCAACGTAAGATCTGCAAAAGAAGAAAAGAGAAAAAAAAAATTCATCTTTAGATCGATACTGCTTAAAGGTGCTGCGTTTTTCTAGTAGTTAGGACAAGTACAGCACAAAATTGTTATTACCTCTATTGACTTAACCATACAGTCCTATGTTATCTTTTTAATTACGTAGGTCAGGCAAAAAAATTCGATATTTTTTCTTCTCTCTGAGAAAGTCATATAACTTTATACAAGAATTCAAGGCAAACACTATTTAGTAGTTTTTTTTTCTTTATTTGCCAAAAATTAGTTTATTTCACTTCTTAACCTTTGAGAATGAATCCCAAAAAATTTAGAAACTGCAGTGCTTCTAAAATAAAAAAGAGTCAAAAGACATACCCTTTTACAAATAGGTTGGAAGTTATGGGTTGGAATCCATAGTTAGCAGGTAAAAGAAAGAAAAAACATAGCAAATGGGCCAATAATGGAAACTAACATAGTCTCAGCTAGTAGATGTACTGACAAAGGAGCTGTTTATATAAAGAATGCCTCCCCTCCACGAATCTCTTACAGATAGTTACTACAATCTTCATTTTTAGTGCTGAATTATCTATCATCTATTTGTTAAAACTCGTTTACCCATTTTTTAAATATCCGAGACGATCTTCTTTTTTAGTGCTGAATTATCTATCATCTATTTGTTAAAACTCGTTTACCCATTTTTTAAATATCCGAGAGGCTACCAGTTTTTCAAACCCCTCTAATCTGGAGAAGGCAGAAAATAAAGATGTTAATTTTTCGAAGGTGCTATTCTCTAGCTTTATGGTTCTTCATAAGCTCAATTTTGGGTTTGGAGATCACTACAAACACAATTGATAGGAACACAATATCACTTAATGTAGGAGATATTACTATCCACTCCGGAGCTTATTGGTCTATTATCGACAATGCAGTCGCGGCATTTGTTTCCAGTATTACTGTTGAAACAAATGCTGGGCTTTATATTTCCAGTACCTCTCCAATAATAGGATTACAGGTGACGTTGTTAGGATTATCAAATTCAATAGTTAATAACGGTGTCATATCATTCAATGCATTGGCTTCTCTTCTCCCTTCAACCTACAACCTTATTGGTTCTTCGTTCAAAAATACTGGAGAAATGTATTTAGGTGGTTCTGGTATTGCCTTAAGTGAAATGAGTATCACTGCAACAACTTGGGAAAATAGTGGATTGTTGGTTTTTTATCAAAGCCAAAGAACTACCAGTGAACTTTTCTTGGGTACTGCATTGCTTTCAATTACTAATAACGGACAGGTTTGTCTTTATAATCAAGCTTATCATCAATCTACCTCCATTGATGGTACAGGATGCTGGACTGCACAAGTTGATTCAACAATTTACATTGCCAATGCTGCATTAGCAGTGTCTCAGGATCAAACTTTTTACCTTGCTGATTCAGCCTCGTCAATTATTGTTGAAGCACTATCTTCCTCACACACGTACAAAGTCTATGGTTTTGGACAACAGTCTGATGGAGTATCGAATATTATTGGGTTGACCTTGCCTTTGGTGGGAGGGCTTACTACAGATGCATATTCCTACAACATCCTAACCGGTGTTTTGACGCTAAGAACTACTTTACTCGAGCAGGATTTCGACATCGGTTATGGTTATGATTTTACTAAATTCCGAATCGTTTCAGATGGTTTGTTGCCTAACATCCTTGGTAATTCAGTAGAATATGATGGCCCATGTCCACGACCAGGATTACCTTCTCAATGTATTGCATGTAAAGAACTACCACCTATACCCGGAGCTAACCCAACACTGTACACAACTACTATTACAACTACAGATTCTGACCAACATGCATTAACGGAAACAGGAATGGTCTATATTGGTCCTGATTCTACCGGTGCATGGATTACTAATACTACAATTTTTGCAACACCCACTGAATACACCTCAACTTGGACCACCACTGGATCGGATGGATCTGTTGCAACCGAGTCAGGTATCGTGTCACAATCTGGTACATCGTTGACCACATTGAGCACGATCCCACCACCAGTGCAAACAGAATACACCACCACATGGACCACCACTGGATCGGATGGATCTGTTGCAACCGAGTCAGGTATCGTGTCACAATCTGGTACATCGTTGACCACATTGAGCACGATCCCACCACCAGTGCAAACAGAATACACCACCACATGGACCACCACTGGATCGGATGGATCTGTTGCAACCGAGTCAGGTATCGTGTCACAATCTGGTACATCGTTGACCACATTGAGCACGATCCCACCACCAGTGCAAACAGAATACACCACCACATGGACCACCACTGGATCGGATGGATCTGTTGCAACCATGTCAGGTGTCGTGTCACAATCTGGAACGTCATTGGTTACAATCAACACGTTCCCAACACTGATAGCAGATGTTTACACCACCACATGGACCACCACTGGATCGGATGGATCTGTTGCAACCGAGTCAGGTATCGTGTCACAATCTGGTACTTCGTTCAAGACAGCTACGCTTTCCAGCTCACCCTCTGACAGTATAGCCGGAGGTGATTTATCACCAGCATCTGTTGCAACTAATATAGTTGGTTCAGGTACTACTACAAGAGAGTCTACGCAAATTACTGGTGGAGAAGCAGTGAGCCCTTCAGGAGATGTAGAAACACCTTTGGCCAACGCATCGCAAAAGGACGAAGAATCAAGTTCCAGTGTAATCAATAGTGCGGTAACAGATAATGTTGAAGGTCCATTGAGTAAAACAATTGTGGGTCAAATTACGCTGGTGGAAACTGCTTCAAATACAATCGCGCATACTTTAGTAGTTAGCGCTACAGAGTCACCAACAAACAACAATCAAGTGACTACAACAGTTGTTGATATTGGCAAGTCTACAAACATGTTTTTATACACGTCTACAAGCACCGGTTACGGTACAACCTTGAGACAACAGCAAAGTGAATCGGCATCTCCGGTTGCCTCATTAACATCATACGAAGGTTCTTGCTCAAGTGCCAAAGTGTCGACTTTCCTTGCATCTTTGTTTGCGATTATTTCAATCATAGTGTAATGGACTGATATAATGTCAAAGTTTAATTTTCATATTTTTGATATTATCCATCGTTTTTCTTATTAGTTAGAGATTGGAGTTGGATTTATTTCAAGGGCGGAGTTTGCATTAGACAGCTCATTTAAGTTCATTACCAACCGTGTTTTGATTTGTATTTTTGACAAACAGTTTAGGGTTGTCTCAACAATTTTTCGGTTTTCTTTTTTTGTTTTTTTCGATTTATTTTTAAAAAAGAATTTTTCATATAGTTCGTTAATACATACACATGTTTGTTACTTTATTAAGGCGTCTCTTTTACTAGTTAACGTTTACAGGTATGTTAGATACTTTATTAAGGCGTCTCTTTTACTAGTTAACGTTTACAGGAGATCTAACAAGTTTCGCTTTCGCTTAGTTTGCAGAGAGGAAATAGAAAAAAAAAGAAACCTCGATGAAATATATATCTATATATATATATATATATATGTATATATGATCACGTGACACATCTATGTATGCAAATACTTGATAGTCTGATTTTTCCAGACAAACCGAAGTACACAGTGGTGGTGGAGTCTGCAGTTACAAGTAATTACAACGCAGTATGGGATGCTTGTATTTTTTTTTTGCCAAAACAGAGCACTTTTCGTGAGAGGTTCAAACTAACAATTCAGTATATTTGTTAACAATTTACCTAAAAATGATGCAAAAAAAAAAGAAAAAGAAAGAATAACAATATTAGTATAAAGTTCTGTTACATTTTATTATTCTGATTGTAGTAGATATTAACCACCTTTTTAACTTATCTTTTTTCTTTAGACTAATCGTGATACGGACTATCAAGTGGAATCGACATCTTGTATGACTAATTTAAAGAAAATAGCTTAGATGAGTGAATACAAATCGCTACCATCCAGTAAGAAGTAGGACTCTTTTTATCAACGACTCACGTGCAGGTGAAGACAAACGTCCTTTATTAGAGTTCAAGAGAGATACTAAATCTTTCCTGTGGGTTACTGGAAGTTTCAAGGCTTAATATTTGCATCGAACTTTGAGAGTTCACAAATTGTGTCCCATATTTTTGGCTCGAAATTAGATATAATCACCAAACGAAAGCGCGAACCACCTTCTATTGTCACCCATCACAGCAAATCCATTTGGTACAACTACCGTTCCAATTCAGATTAGAGGTTCAATTTATACATCAGCAATTACAATTACGAACTGTTTTTGGGTAATTGCATCAAAGTTGTAGATTTGGAGAATGAAATTGTAACTAGCCTTGTTTCTTTAGAGTTCCAGTTGTTTGATATAAAGAAATCCAAAGCAAAAGCCGAGGATGGCGATAAGAAATCCTGTTATTGTAAGTCATAGACACAAAAACTGTCGAGTTCAAACTGAGTTTGAATGAATATAAAAGAAGGAACTAAATCACGTCCATATTATATAACACCGAAAAAGAATATTAATAATAATCCTATCAAAGTGAAGAAGTGTTTTTTTCCCTATCTTCTTGTTAAAGATGCTATTCAAAAGCGATTGTTGTTTGAAAATAGCTTAAGACATAAGAAGGGGGAGTATCTTTATGGTGAGTTGTGTGAAGCCTACAAGGATACCAGTTTATTAACTCATATTGGAGCAGCAAGTCAAATACAGACAAACAATGGATGAGTTGAAGAAAGCAATTATTAAGAAGAATTATTGATGTAATCTTTACACAACGACTGATTATGTTAAATATTGGTGAGGACTAGGAACTAAGTTGAAAATAACTGGTCTATTGTTGAGTTTTTTTGTTTTACCAAGAAAATAATTTTAGAAAACTAAAGTAAAAGCATTTTTCCTTGGGGGTTTAATCTCCCTTTTTTTCTTCTTTTGTGTTTTGAAAATTATATTTCAGAAACCTGTAATGGAATCTTCATAAAATACAGACCTAGAAAGTAGGAAATGTGAAAATTGGTATTCGTCGATGCTATTTTTATGAAAATGATCTACAACAAATATAATCCAAATATGGAAAATACATTACCAATAATGTAAGAAAACAGATGTGAAGAGTAAAAGTTAGAAACTCGATTGTTTTTTTTCTTTGTATTCAACCCCATTGTACACACAGTGAGGGTATAAAATTTCTTAACCCACTGGTATGTATTGTTTCCATAGTTGCTTCACATTCTGCAATTCAATTGAACTTATATTTGGTTGGTATAATAAACGAATGTAAAGAGCCACACACATACAAGTAGAGCGGTTAAGTTTTTACAAAAGAATAAAATTGTACAAAAGTAGAACAAAAAGGTCCAAACTTGAACCCTTTTGTCTCAAGTCTATGAGTGTTATTACATAAGATGCGCTTTGTTATATGCAGTATAGCTACCTAAAAAGGCTTGGGGTAAAAAAATAGTACAACTATCTACTGCATGTGGGCAATTCAAGAAAAAAAGGGTTCAGATTAGTGTTGAGGGTCTTTAGGAAGTTTTCGGAGTTAAACAAAGTTAGACCATGCATAAAAGCTTAATTTGCAAATTATTGCGTACAAAAATGTCTTTTCCAAACAAAGAAATTTCTTTACTAAACGGTGGACTGGAAGAGAAAGTCGAGGAGGTTGAATTTGATATAGGCTTTCAGATTGGTTAATGCTTGGTTTCAAGTATGCAGATTTTACGACAAACTTTTGTCAAAGATTTGTGTTTAAAGACTCTCCAATTATCTCTTTGGAGTGATTGAGTGATTGATTGAGTGAATGAGTGGGTGAGAAATATAGATTGTACGGATTTAATCCACAGGAATGTTATTAATGATAGTACAATTAAAAGTATTTACCAATCCAGTGTTAAGATAGTAATAGTTTGTGTATTTACAGACATCGCGTTGCTATGTGAAATACGTGGTAACCGAAAAAGAAAGAAACTCAACAGAAATACGAAATAAAAACCTATTGCGGTTCTTTTCAAGATGAAAACAAGGTAACTAGTTCTTGTATGTATGTGTGTGTATGTGCTTGAAGGGCATTATTCTCAATTGTCATACGTACATTTTTGCTTCCTATGGGCGCCTCAAAGTGTAGATAAGTTGAAAATCTCTGAGTACATATGAAAATCTTTGAGTACATGAGATTCGAAAAGATGTTTGTGGCAAGTACACATTATTTTACACGACAGAGTTGACCGACATAAAGAGCAACCAAAGAACACGATTATGCACAGAAAAATCAGCAGCAAACAGCTACATTCTTTCCCTCTTATCCGAGAATTCTCGACAATAACCTCGACTCAGAATAACAAAACATGAAAGTTTTGACCTTACAAACGCAATTCTTTAGTCCTGTACATAACTAAAAAGAAAAAAAGCTCTCTACCTAAACTATTATGAAGGCGAAGTGGCAGTGTTGGAGATTTTAAAAGCGACAAACAACTTTGAACATATTCATCCAATAATGATTTCAGTAAATTATGTTAATAATGACTTCATTTTAGGAGGTTTATGGAAACTCAAACGCGCATATCCAATATTTTTTCTTTTTTTTATTTTTGGAAAAAAAAAGATTCCTATCAAAAAGAATAGCAGAAATATTTAATATACATTATAGCTAATTTTAGTGGGTTTCAAGGCTAAAGTTCTTACTGGCAATTTAATTCAACCGATTTTGGGCTTTTTTAGACTACGCGCTACTGCATTATTGCTGCATGCAGCGGTCAAAAATATGGTTATGCAAAAAAGTAAAGATAGTAGGGCATTGTTTAATTAGGGGAATAAAATTTTTTAATATCAAAAAGAGACAGTGTACTATGATCAACATCAAGAAGATTCACAAGGGCTGCTTTACCTCCAACAGTTTCAGAAAAAGAGTTCGCGTTTTTTTTTTTTTCAATTGAAAATAGAAAAAAGCCCAGACTCTATTATGAAAAGGCTTTGGATGCATGTCGAAAAATACCATTCATAATTTTTTCTTACAAATAGTTTTCTAATTGTTTTGAATGTATGGGGGATATGTGTGAGCCCAGACTTAGAGGAGCATTGGTCGGTACATTAAGAGGGCCCTGCTTAGGTTTTCTCTCTTTTTCTTTTTTTTTTTTATTTTTTTACTCGAACAATTGCTCACCTTGAATAGGATAAGAACAAGTAATAACTGTATATTCGAGAAAGATCTGATAAACTTTTTCTTCGCACATTTTTTTTCTAATTTTGATATATTTGAATTCAAACATATGTGGCGAAGGAACGTATGAGATTTGCAAACACCGAACCAAGACATCTTCTATTGCTTCTCAATACCATATGCGAACAATATTGCATGAGAAACATTTGCTCATTGATTGAAGAATTTTCACCCTTCTTTGTTAAAAAGAACAAGTTTTTCACGAGTCGTCATTACACTACTTCTGCTAAAACGTCAAAATCAAACGTCTTGTGGCTAATAATGGTAACCCCATTTTAATTTTTTGGCAGTTGAAGTGCATTTTTTTAATTTCTTTTTTTTTTCTTGGTCAATTCATATACCTTCATCAACATTCATAATCAATTAGGCTGTACTCATACATTTCCAGGTGTTGTTGTTGTTGTTGTTGTTGTTGTTGTTGTTGTTGTTGTTGTCGTTGTTGTTGTTGTTGTTGTTGTTGCCTCTGTTTTTTTTTCCTTGTATGGTTTTTATTGCATACACTCAATGAAATTGACGCTCTACGCCAACTTTTAGGCAAGGTGGAGTGATATACATGTAGCTCCAGAACAAAGCAGGAAGCAATAAACAAACATTCCTTACTGCCAAGGGGTTATATGTTTTGTTTTGTATCAAGGGTGTTTTGTTTTTTGTTGATTCATATGTGGTTAGTACAGGATACTTTTTATTGTATTCAATAATGAATAGAACGTTTTTTGAACGAATTGTTAGTTATTAAAGATTCTTTGAAAGAAAATAAACACGCGAATGCCGTTTAATGGCGTTGAATATGACAGTATCTTGTCCAAATCCTGATTGTTTTTCTCAAGTCAAATTGATCTTTTTGGAAACAACCACATTTTTCGAAGTGTGGTTGTTTACGATTCTTTGGGATATAAATTAGAATGCAAATACCCATCTTTTCAAGTAAAAATCCTTATTCCTCAAGGCTCAAGCATCATTACGTTTTAAGAACAAAAGTTCATTATCAAGATGCTTAGACAACTATTATATCCTTTGTTATTTTCGCTCGTTAGTGCAGGTGGGGAAACCATAAAGGGAGAGAAGATCAGTAGAGGTGCTATCAATCTTTCTGTTGGTGATATCACTATTGAATCAGGCGGTAGTTGGTCAATTATTGATAATAAGCTTTCTGCAATCGTTGGTGATTTGATAGTGGAAAAAAATGCCGGCTTTTATATCAGTGCAGTGAGCTCAATTATTGGTTTACATGTTGAATTGCTCAATCTTTTCAGCATTATCCGCAATGATGGTATAATTTCCTTTAATGCAGTTAAATCTGCCCTCCCAGCACATTTCAAATTATATGGAAAGTCTTTTGAAAATAATGGAGAGTTATACTACGCTGCTGATGGTATACTCCCTCCTATATTTACTATTGCTGCTTCAGAATGGAAAAATAGTGGTTTGATTGTTTTATATCAAACTAAAAGGTCAGAGGCTATCACTTTTTTGGGAAAAGCTTTGCATGATATTGAAAATACAGGTCTGATTTGTCTTTACAACAGCATTTATAAGCAAATCACATCTATTTCAGGAGATGGTTGTATTACTGCTAACCACGACTCAGTCATTTTCCTTTCCAACACTTTGTTGAAGGTTGATCCCTCTCAAACTTTCCACTTGGCTGATTCAAAAAGTGTATTAATTGCTCAAGCAATAACTGAGGCTCGTGAATATAATGTTGTTGGTTTTGGAGGTGGTAACAAAATAGGTTTGAATGTTCCTCTTTTAACGGTTCCAATCATTGGATTACCTTCTTTTACATACGAGACAGCATCAGGTGTACTTACCTTAAGAGGTTTTGGAGCCCGTCTTCTTACTCAACGTTTCTTTATTGGTACAGGATATGATCCTGCTTTAATGAGGGTTGATACTCATAATATTTTGGGATTTTTGTCGGGATTCGTCACATACGATGGACCAGTTGTCAACAACAATGTTCCAGCTAAATGTTACTGTAGACCATTACCACCCAGCCCAGGTACGGACTCAAGTTCATCAACTTTGAGCTCCACCGAGAGTAGTTCAGCAGCAACCACTTCAAGCACCCCTTCCTCGGTTTTGGCTTCATCAACAGAATCTAGCGAGTCATCAACTGTGCCATCCTCATCAGCACCAGCTTCATCTAGCTTGTCACCAGAAGTGTCATCTTCATCGGTTCCAGCTTCATCTAGCGAGTCATCAGAAGTGCCAGCTTCATCTAGCGAGTCATCAGAAGTGCCATCCTCATCGACCACAGCTTCACCAAGTGAAGCTACTGGTGGAAACGGTGGAAACGGTGGAAACGCTGCAGCTACTGGTGGAAACGGTGGAAACGGTGGAGACAGTGGAAACGGTGGAAACGGTGGAAACGCTGAAGCTACTGGTGGAAACGGTGGAAACGGTGGAGTCAGTGGAAACGGTGGAAACGGTGGAAACGCTGAAGCTACTGGTGGAAACGGTGGAAACGGTGGAAACGGTGAAGCTACTGGTGGAAACGGTGGAAACGGTGGAAACGCTGAAGCTACTGGTGGAAACGGTGAAGCCACTGGAACCAAGGGCGAAGACGTTCAAGCTACTGGAACCAACGGCGAAAACGGTGAAGCCACTGGAACCAGCTGCGAAAGCGGTGAAGCCACTGGAACCAGCAGCGTAAACGGTGAAGCTACTTGGACCAGCTGCGAAAGCGGTGAAGCCACTGGAACCAGCAGCGTAAACGGTGAAGCCACTTGGACCAACGGCGAAAACGGTGAAGCCACTGGAACCAGCTGCGAAAGCGGTGAAGCCACTGGAACCAGCAGCGTAAACGGTGAAGCTACTTGGACCAGCTGCGAAAAATGTGAAGCTACTGGAACCAACAGCGTAAACGGTGAAGCTACTGGAACCAACGTACCTACTACTGCAATTTCAGTATTCCCAAGTGCATCTACAAGTGCGTCAGCTACTGTTTCGGCATTTGAGAATGCTTCCAACACTGGTACTGTTAACAAATTTGTTGCCATTGTATTTGGTTTACTTGCCATTGTTTCAGTCATTTGATTGATTGGGTTTCAATCATCGTATACCCACGTTACGATTTACTGTTCATCACTCAGAATTTCTATATTTCGGTTTCATTATTAACTAGTATTAGTTAAAAAGGATTTCAACTTTATTGGTATGTGTTCGGTATTATTTGCGTCAATATTGAACTTTGATATTTGGCGGACTAAACTTGTGTAATGTATTTTGTAATTTATAATAATCTACAACTACTTGTGTTGTAATCGCAATGTTATATCCTCTTTGGATGCCCTTGATATTCTATATAAGGAAAAAAGAAAGCAATCTAAGCAATCATTTCTTTGTCCAAGAACTGGTACATAAAAATAAAATCGTTCTCACAAGAGCTTGTTTGCTTGATGTATTTGATTTTTGGTGGAATGAAAATGCTCATCAGCAATAACATAAAACAAATAAGCTACCAATACTTATGAACAATCTGAGAAGTATATGTTCATCGGTGCCTACAAAGATTTGATGTCTTTACTAACATACAAGATTTTTTAATATAAAAATGTTTCATTTTTTCTCCTGAGTACAATTCCTTTTTACAACGCCAATACTACACAAATCTTTGTAAGCAGAGAAGAAAAGCTCAATGTATTTTGGTTGTTATAAAGCATACGTTGAACTAAATATTGTTTGGTAAATATAAGGATAGATATCTTCTATCCCACAAATCTAGAAGATAGATACCATCTGGTAGCTTCTTCAACATAACATTACATTGTGTGATAATTCAATCCAGAGTTTATACGGATTTTGCTTATGCATCGTAATAGATGGTCAGACACCTTAAGTAGAAACCTGAGATAAGCTTACTTAGCTTTGCAGATTAATAAATATATCGAGTGACTTGCACTATCCACTTGTGATGTCACGCCATACTTGTAAGGAGTACGCTAAGAATCCCTCTGGATGTGTTCACTTGTTGATTGCTTAAGAATTTTCCATTATCGCGCCCATTTTTTTTTTTTTTTAATTAATCCAGTTTTAATAAATCGTCCCTTCAGAAGAAAAATGAAAGTTTGAATCTTTGAATACCCTTCCCTAGACCCAACTAAGGCGGATAGAATAATAAACCCTTAGACCCATATTTATGAGTTTTATAGGGCAAATGCTACATGAAAAAAAGTTCACCCAAGAGAAACGACCCTTAATCAACTTTTGGTTTTGGTCAAATATCGTTGCATATAATAAATATAAAAATAAAGAAAATGAATGCTTTACAATATATAATATTTATCTATTTTTTTTTTTTGGGCTTGTGTGTAAAGAACTTACACCATTGCCCTGGCCAAACATGGCGAAACCCTCACAATTAAAAAGTTTGTGTCTTGGTGAAAATGTGAAAGGATACACGTTAAACTTTATTTAGCATTTTTGTGACTTCAATATGTCCCCCTAACCTTTAGGCTCAGTTATTAGCCACAGCGAAGTTCTGCCAATGGATGGTCATGCTATATGCAAAGCTGCAATTTGTATATCTTGATATTCATTACCTCGTAAATTGATGTAAAAAAATACTAATGAAAGAAAAGATTTCAAATAATACGGAGGTAAGACGAACACTACCAATGTACATAAATAAGTGAAGATCACCTTCATTATACTTTTATACTGCGTGTATATGTAACGAAATTGCTAATAATGCTAGAAGAATAATACAGTAATGCCGTGTATATCTGAGCTTTCTTTGGATGTTACTTGTTCCCTTGACCAACATCGACTTTGCTAAGGAAACAACCACAACTAACATCAATATGAATTTATTATTGCCTTGAGTTCTAAGTCAAGTTGTAATACTTGTACAAGTCTTTTTTTGTATTAGTTATATGCCTATTTTGACTTTATCAAATCCTTTTCAATTTTTTAATAAATAGACCAGAAAAAACCAATTGTTTTCCTTAAAAATTCAAAAAGAGCGATTAATGACGAAAGATTAGCCTGCTTTTTCGAAGGATGCTACTATTTTTTTCGAATCAGGGTCAATTTATCAATATAGGACCAGATTACTCTAATATCTGCATTTTTAATACATGTTGAAATTTTTCATTTTTCATTTATCCACTTTGAAAAGTTGGAAACTCAGTTGTTAGACAGTAGATTTATTATTTTTTTTTTAAAAAAATATAGTTGCAAAATTTAAGGAAGTAAAAATATCGCTTAGGCAATTCGGTTAAATGCATTTTTCGTTAAATCTATTTTTTTTTTCTTGCTAAATAATGCATTTCGTATTTTTATGCGCCTACCCCTTATTTAATAAACCACTTAAATTGAGAAAATGAAGTTGCGGCTAAATTAAATCCAATACTTTATAGTTGATCTAAGTACTATAATATGGATGATAAAAATGTATTAGTTTTATAAATGTTAAAAATATAAAGCCATTACCTTGATTATGAACGTATGCTGAAGAAGAAAACCAAGTTTCACTTTCCTTGTTGAAAATGAATGTCCTAGATTCAAGCATTGATACTTGTTATTCTTGTACGCATGTACCGCTAGAAATTTGCAAAGCTCACGTTAATATATATCAACGGAGAGATTAGCTTTTGAAGATTGTGTACTACTCTTTAGATAACTCACATTCTCTTGAGGAAATAAAAGACTTTTTTTTTTTGGTTCGACAACATCATGTGATAACAAAACACACGAATACAATATTTGCGATAAAAAGAACAATGATACGAAGACCATTTGTTTGTTATCAACGATTTTTCGTGACCTATTTGATTGATAACCGTTACACCAGTTTCTTTTTTTCCTTTTTTTTTCAATTGTTTGAACCCCTAACCATAATGTTTATTCAATTTACCCTCATTGCAATGAATAAACAAATAATAATGGAAAAATCTACTGGCTAGTGCAACTAGTTTGGGAATTGCAAAGAGAAAATAACATATCCACTAAACACACAGCAAGTCAAACATTCAATTATCAGGATACTTGCGAAAATAATTAATGAAAAATAAGAATAAAGAAACGAAAAAGAAAGGGAAAAAATATTTCTATATTTGCTTATGTGTAAATGTCATTTTTTTTTTATTTTTTTGCATCTCTTTTTTTTTTTTTCTCTTTTTGCAGTCGCTTAAAATTCGATTCAAAAACGAATTGAGGTAACAGTTTGATCAAGAATATCTGGTAAAGGACAGAAGAGAGTCATTTGTTTTGCCGCAATGTAAAATAACCCTGACATGGTTCTTTTTTCTTTTGTCAAAGATGAAAGATGTCTTGTTTCTGAATATAAAACAGACTTGAAGTTCATCTTGCTAGTTATTTGTGGAATTACAAATACACACTGAATACTATTTATCACTTAATCAGACAGATCTCAAATAATGCTAAAACACCTTTGGCTTCCGATTCTATTTTTCCTCATTCAAGGGTCAAATGCCATTACGGCTATTTCAAATAACACAATTTCAATAGGAGCCCTTGGGGCTATTGGCGACACAATAATTCGAACAGGTGCTTATTGGTCTATAATTGATAACGCTATTTCAAGCTTTGTAGGTGATTTGATTGTTGAAGAAAATGCAGGTTTCTACATTTCAAGCAATACACCTAGTATTGGTTTATCAATCACTTTATTGGGCATTTTAAATGAAATTCAGAATGACGGAATCATTGCATTCAATTCTCTCAGGAGTACATTAGTAACAAAGTACGAATTGGTTGGTGCATCATTCCTCAATAATGGTGAAATTTATTTGGCAGCTAATAGCGCCAAGGTGCCAGTCATGGGCCTTACAGCAATTGATTGGACCAACAATGGAATGATTGTTTTCCACCAAGAAAAAAATACCAATTGTATTGTCCATTTAGGTGCTCTAGGGTCAACATTAGTGAACAGAGGTTCAATCTGCTTGCATAACTCAATTTATCACCAGTACACTAGAATTTCTGGTAATGGGTGCTTCCAGTTGAGTGGTGATAGCTCGGTACACTTCACAAATACTTTATTGCCGGTTGATGAATCCCAAACATTTTACCTTGCTGACTCAAAAGCTTCACTTTATGCTGAACCTTTGAAAACACCTGCTTCTAGAATTACAGTTGTTGGTTTTGGAAAAGGTAACATATTAGGTATAGATATTTCGATTTTGAGTCTTCCATTCGCGGCATTTACTGAGTATACCTATAGTTCTACCTCAGGAGTACTTACTTTGAAGGGTGTGTTTAATGACATTGTTTCCCAAGAATTCAAAATTGGTCTCGGATATAATGCAAATCTATTCAAGACAATCAATGCTGATTTCCTTGGAATCTTCTCCCTTGGAGTAACATACGACGGCGTAACTCCTGATCAAGAAGTTCCAAGTAACTGTCGTTGTGCACTTCCGCCACCTATTCCAGGCGTAGACTTGCATACCGAAACTACCACAATAACAGAGACCACCGAGACTCCTCAGACTAGCGAGTCTACTCAAACCACAGAGACCACCACCACAGAAACTGCAAAGACTACCGAGACTACTCTGACTACTCTGACTACCACCACCACCACAGAAACTGCAAAGACTACCGAGACTTCTCTGACAACTGAGACTACTCAGACCACTGAGACCACCACCACCACAACAAAGACCACTGAGACTTCTCTGACTACTGAGACTACAACGACAAAGACCACAGAAACTGCAAAGACTACCGAGACTTCTCTGACAACTGAGACTACTCAGACCACTGAGACCACCACCACCACAACAAAGACCACTGAGACTTCTCTGACTACTGAGACTACAACGACAAAGACCACAGAAACTGCAAAGACTACCGAGACTTCTCTGACAACTGAGACTACTCAGACCACTGAGACCACCACCACCACAACAAAGACCACTGAGACTTCTCTGACTACTGAGACTACAACGACAAAGACCACAGAAACTGCAAAGACTACCGAGACTTCTCTGACAACTGAGACTACTCAGACCACTGAGACCACCACCACCACAACAAAGACCACTGAGACTTCTCTGACTACTGAGACTACAACGACAAAGACCACAGAAACTGCAAGGACCACTCAGATCAGAACGACAAAGACCACAGAAACTGCAAAGACTACCGAGACTTCTCTGACTACTGAGACCACAACGACAAAGACCACAGAAACTGCAAAGACCACAGAAACTGCAAAGACTACCGAGACTTCTCTGACTACTGAGACCACAACGACAAAGACCACAGAAACTACAAAGACTACCGAGACTTCTCTGACCACCGAGACTACTCTGACAACTGAGACTACTCTGACAACTGAGACTACTCTGACAACTGAGACTACTCTGACAACTGAGACTACTCTGACAACTGAGACTACTCTGACAACTGAGACTACTCTGACAACTGAGACTACTCTGACTACCGAGACCACCACCACCACAACAAAGACCACTGAGACTTCTCTGACTACTGAGACCACAACGACAAAGACCACAGAAACTGCAAAGACCACAGAAACTGCAAAGACCACAGAAACTGCAAAGACCACAGAAACTGCAAAGACCACAGAAACTGCAAAGACCACAGAAACTGCAAAGACCACAGAAACTGCAAAGACTACCGAGACTACTCAGACTACCGAGATTACTCAGACTACCGAGATTCCTCAGACTACCGAGATTACTCAGACTACTGAGACCACAACGACAAAGACCACAGAAACCGCAAAGACCACTGAGACTACTCAGACCACTCAGATCACCGAGACCACCACCACAAAGACTGCTAAAACTACAGAAACCACCCAGGCCACTCAAACCACCCATATCATTCAGACCATAACGAGAAAGACCATTCAAACCGCTGAGACCACCACAACAAAGACTGCCGAGACCACTGAGACTACAACGACAAAGACTACTGAGACTTCTCAACCCACTGAGATCACAACGACAAAGACTACTGAGACTTCTCAAACCACTAAGACCACAACAACAAAGACTACTGAGACTTCTCAAACCACTAAGACCACAACAACAAAGACTACTGAGACTTCTCAAACCACTAAGACCACAACGACAAAGACTACTGAGACTTCTCAGACCACCGAGATTGCTGAGAAGTTGACGACCACAGAGGTCATAGAGGTCACTGAAATAACTGACGACTCGACTGTCACTGATGCTACAGCTGCGAACACTGACTACTTAACCGCTGATTCAACTACTTCTGAGTCCAATGAAATATACAGTACTGCAGGGACAGTACAGTATGAATCATCATCAAGTTCACCAGAAATTACTACAAACCAAAAGACCACTCAATCTTTCTCTACCGACAATGTTGAACCGATACGAATTGATGAGGAATCAACTATTGCAAAATTATCTGAGTCGATTCTCGATGAGATGTCAACTACTTTAATATCTGTGACAATAACTGAGACTTTAGACAAATCGTCTCTGGACAAATCTTTAGACAAACCTTTAGACAAATCTACAAACAATACTACAGAAGATTTTTCATTACTCGAAAATGTATCCATTAATAACCTGGTCAACAAAAGTTTCGCTGTTATTATTGCTTTAGTTACAGCAATTGCCTTCTTTTGATGTAAATAATTTCAGCTAATATATTAAAGGCATATCTTCAGCATAAACTTTATTTTCCTTCCAAAATTTTGGTACCCTTACAAATGAAAAAAAAAAAAAAAAAAAAAAAAACCTTAAGAAACGAAAAAAATTAGACTGTATTTAATACAAATACTAATAAGTTTTAATTTTGACTACATCTATGTTTTGTAGAAGTACACATAATTGACTCCCCTTCAAAGAACCTCACATTTCCCTCCCTCCCCTAATAAGGTTAGTCTTATTTAGAAGATTGTTTTGCGGTTGAACTGGCACTATTTTTCTCTTTTTTTTTCTTTTTTTTTCTTTCTCTATCTCTATTTATTTCTCGCCTTTCTGGGGTGCTTCTTTTTTGACACCTAGCGGATATAGCATAACATGAACATTACATTCTACCAACCTCAAGTGCTAATATCATTGGCTTTCCTCTTCTTATTATTGGGAGTCTTGCTAGTAAAACTAATCAAACCCTTGAACAAATTGTTGGAGTATGGTAAAAACACAGAAGTCATCAATGAAAGTCCTACATCTTCAATTGTCAATTTCATAACTGGAAATTTGGTGGTTCCAAAACAATGGTTTACCCATTTCTACATTTGTTTATTTACTTTGGCCACTGCTTCATATTTCAAAGCTTGTCATGAGAAAATTATCGGCCAATCATCATTACCTTCTGTTACATTTAAAAACATTTCAATTATCCATAAATTACTTTGGATTCAAGGAGGAAGAAGAATGGTTGAAAGTTTTGCAGTAACAAAGTTTTCTTCGGAGTCCAAAATCAATTTCAGTCATTATGTTGTGGGGATGGCGCACTATGTATTGATTTCTCTAGCAACATATTATGGCTTGCGAGAAAATTGTTCCACTAGTGCTTCCTTGACTATTATTGATTATATTTTGATTAGTGTGTTTGGCATATCCTCCGCCCAACAGTTTGTTATTCATTACCACTTGGCTCATTTGAGGAAATACTCTTTGCCGAGATTTACAGTGGTTGCCTCGCCACACTATCTATGTGAAATTGTCATCTATACGGTTTTTCTCCTCCTAAGTATTAAAGATGGATTCAACGAGATATCGCTTGCATTTCTCTCGGCTTGGTCATTTGTGGTATTGAACTTGTCCATTACATCTCTTGAAACCTACAAATATTATAAACAGAAATACAGAGAGGAATTCAGATTGAAATGGGCAATTATACCAGGGGTTCTATAGATTGAAGAATAGTTTATATAGATGTTAGGATGAATCTGTAATGTTCTTGTTAAAATTAAAAATAAAAATGATAATAATAATAATAATAAAAAAAAAAAAAGAAAACTATGTGCAGAAAAATGATAACTGGTAAGCGGCTAATGCTTTTTTCACACCTTTAGGTTATAGACATTTCTTTCAATGCTATTTCAAGCTCATTCTACAGCTTCGCAGAAAACTGAATGTCCAATATCCATCTTTTTGGAATCGACATCATTCTCTGTGGTGTACGGTTGCCCAGGTATCCCACGGAGTATACCAAGAATTGAAACAGTAGCTCATATAAGATCAAACGATGGGTCACCATTTATGATCCGGTCAGCAGCAGTATATCTAATTACGCGACAAAAAGTATCTGTCCCTGCTAAATTTGGTTCTAATGAAGCGTTCAAGGAGATCAAATCTTTTGAGGATCCATTGGCATTCAAGCCTGCAAACGACTTTTCTCAGAAAGTATTAGGAGTGGATTTACCCATATTGATTCCTATACCGCGAGATATAGCACCTTCCAATTTTCTGTTAACGTTTGGTGCGTGTACAACTCATTATTTGGTAGTTAAGGTAACTCTTGGAGAGAATAGTTTCAAGGAGTCGTCATTCTTAGAGACCTTTCCGGTTGTCATCAAAACTTATGATACATTGCCACTTTATCGGCAATTTAATGAACCAGTTGTTGAATCTAGAAAGTCTCCTGATAATCAAGTGGTTGCAGAGATAACAGTGTCAGTAACAGCAATTGGTCCCGGTGACAAATTGAGCTTGAAATGTAAGCTCCTGACCAATGCAGCCAACAACAAAGTTAAAAAGAATATTACGGTAAAGCAAATAACATGCCAGGTAAAGGAGTGTTTGGAGTGTCACGATGGGGGTCTTCCACCACTTAAGGAAAATAAACTACATACGGCGACTTTAAGCCCGGGTAGGGAACTAAATACCCAAGGAGAAGAGGAACGCTTTGAAATACCTTTTCCCCAAACAAACGATTACTTGCAAATATACCAGTTTCAGGAACCTTCAATAATTGAACAAGAAGTATCAATTGAACATGGCACCACAATTATAGAGTCAACCACCATTTCCAGCAACAAGCTCAGCGAAAAGTTACACGAAGGGTTGTCAATCACCCACAATCAAAGTTTGACTCTACAAGGTCATTTTTATTCAATTAGATTCGAGTTGATACTAAAACTAAAGTTTTCCAGAGCAAAAGACTTTGATGTACGTTTGCCAATAATTGTATGTCCCTTTGATCGAAAGTCAAGTGAGTATTTACTAAAATGGATAATGCATGAATGTGAAGTTGCTAAAGCTAGATTTGGGAAACACTTTGTTGACCAATTTTTTGCGTCAAAAAAGTATGCAGATATTTGTTCATTAATGAACCGTTACAGAACCGCCCCGACTGTTTACCGGTTTTGCAAAGACGACTGGGAAAAACTAGGCTATAATGGTGCTAGTTTTAATAATCCAAAGTCAATTAGCTTGACGCTGTATATAGATTGAGAGAATTTTGTAGAGGCCATTCTTTTCCTTTTGGATTTTTATTCCTCTTATTTTTTTCCCACTATATATATTATATATGGTAGCTAGTATGAAAAATATCACCAATACCACACATACACACTATACTCGATTCTCTTATCATGAGCTTTCCTCCAGAATATGCACCAACTGCCTCGACTTCGTTTACAATATCTTCAGATTCGATCAGGTATAATGAGGAGGTGACTAGGTCCCTGCTAATTAAATCTCCCACACATAAATCGACGTATGATGCACTAGCCGAAGTATGCTCTATAATCCCGTCAATTGAAATGCTAGAGAATGCGTATATCAAGGACTACGTAACCGATAAGGAGAAGTTCACTTCAGCAACATTCAGATTGATATATCAGTATCAGACTTTGGTCAAAGGATTTGACGAGCCAAAGATACAGGTCTTGCAACAGCTTCTACCGGGCCTTCAACCAGACTTGTCAAATTTCTTGCAACTATTTATGACAAAATTCCATTTAAACTGTCCACAAGCAATGCGTAGATTGATTAGTGGTGTACCCTCAACGATTGAGCATATTAGTGAAAATTCATCCACTGCTGCCACCAATAGCACCAGTGGAAATGGTAATGGCAATAGTGCTAATGCAAGATTAATTGCCGAAATTACAGGAAACTTCATTACTTGCATGGATGCTATAAAGTTGAATTACAAAACAAGAGATCAGCTACACCCTCTACTAAGTGAGTTGGTGGTTAATTTGAACGAGCTCAATGAGAATATGGAAGTAGCCGGTAAGTCAAAACTAGTAAATTGGTTGATAAAGATTAACAATTTAGAGAAAGAATTGAATCAAGAGGATGCAGACATATTCTTGAGTGATTTGGATGTAGCCTACAAGGGATTCTATTCGTCATTAGAGAAGAATTGAAAAAAAAAAATACAAAAAAATGTATTAAAATTGCCGAAATATATCTAATCTATACAATAGATTCCATTTGCTCTGCATACCCCAACACATTCTTTATAATTGATCCATTGTCTATGTTTGCCTCACTTTCTGTTTGAGTGAAATAAAGAACTCCATTTTTAAGTTCCCAATTTGTCAAGTTTAACGAATCCCTCAAAGTATGTTCAAATGCAGCGTCACTTATTTCCTGTGACAAGTATAAAAGATTTTTACAGTTTGAAACTGGAATTGAGGTGTATGTTTTTTCCAAACTTCTGGCTATTTCGAATCTCAAGGCATTTATTAAAGTTGCGCCAAAGTGTGAAAACTCTTTACATGGAAGACTTTGCTCTTCATTTAATAGCTTCCAAATCTTGATGCAATTACCCTCCATCAAGTTACTTTCAAGATCAATAGGAAAGCGCAAGAATTTGTCGTTTTCAGCGTCAAACTGCTCAAAATTATATATCGACTCTAGTTCCACATGGAATTTCGAAATCAAGCCTTGGCTCAAAAGGTATAACAAGTACAAAGATATTATCTTGGTGGTATCAGTATTAACATGAGCTTTTTTCAAATTCTGTAATTTCTCATTTGTGTAAAATGGTTTCAACTGGGCAAAATAGTTTTCAAAGCCCGTATAGTCATTAGTGAACAAGGATGAGAATGCACCAATTTCCAAAATCCTTTGTGCAATTCTTATGTCATTAAGTTGATCCTTAGTTTGAGTGTTGGAGTCTACTGGTACAAGCAAATTGTGTTTGATCAACTCAATTTTAATAGGAGTTAATAGTTGCTGGCATTTATGATAATCCTCTTTTTCAAACAGAAAGTATATCTCAGCAGTAAGTTTTTGCAATGACATTTTTTTTTTTGTTTATACCCAATCTCTATACTCTATTGCCTATCTCTATGTCCTATCGAGTGGTTTAAAAGCTTAATGAATTGCCCACTTGGAGAAAAGACAGAGAGAGAGAAAGAGAGGGAGAAAAAAAAACAATATAAACAAACCGCCACTTGACTGGTCTTTACAGTGGCAATTCAAAGAAACCACCGCACTCTGCGAAGTAATTCTTTCTCTTTTCTTTTCTTCTTCCTTCATATTTTTCGTGTATTACTCAGTCGAAAAAAAAAAAGAAAAAAAAGAGATGGTGAATTTTTTTTAATTCATCTCATCATCTTTTCAATTTTCATAATGTATATTCAAAGAAGTTAAGGAAGATGAAGTTTATTACTACTAATCTTGTTCAGTGTGCAGTGAAGTCTTGTCAATCTTCGCAAGATGCTTTCCCATTGAAATATGAGGAGTGTCAATTAGTTCAGGAGGAGCAGGAGTTCAAACCTGAGTTTATTGCACATATGTTAGATAAACTAGATTGGGATGCAGTAATAGCAGTAGCGAAAGATTTGGGAAATGATTCGTTGCCGCTAAAGAAACCAGATGGATTGGATCCAATAATGGAGGACGATAAAGAAGTGTTGAAGGATCTTCACACTTTACTAGTTGAAACACAATTGGTAGAGGGTAAGATGATTTGCAGAAATTGTCACCATGTTTATTATATTAAAAATTCGATACCCAATTTTCTATTACCGCCTCATCTCATATGAGGAGCTATGAGCCGCTCTGAAGGAGCTATGAGCCGCTCATCATAAAAGTGAAGAGAGGCGGAAAAATGCTGAAGATAGTGTTAGAGAGATAGTCAGTGTTGCTCGATAGTGCCGGAGAGATAGTCAGTGTTGCTCGATAGTGCCAGAGAGATAGTCAGTGTTGCTCCACTATCTCTCTCTGCTCGATAGTGTCAGTCGGTGCTGCTCGATAGTGGAATACAATAGCAATTGCAATTTTGCAGTTTCAAGACAGTCAACAAGTTTTCACATTGCGAAAATGTTCATTTGGTAAAAAAGCAATTTACAATCCATCCAAAAGAAATTGAATCTATCCAAAAGAAATTGAATCTATCCAAAAGAAATTGAATCTATCCAAAAGAAATTGAATCTATCCAAAAGAAATTGAATCTATCCAAAAGAAATTGAATCTATCCAAAAGAAATTGAATCTATCCAACAGAAATTGAATCTATCCAACAGAAACCAGCTCTTTAGGACAGCTTAGAGGCAAGCTACATGTGAACCATATTTGTACCCCGACAAATTTTGTCTACTTTGCCATTTCTTTCTACCCTACCCTACTTGTTATATCATTGAGACGAGCCAAAAGCTAAAAGCCAAAAGCCAGGAGCCAGGAGCCAAGAGTCAAGAGCCCTCACCAGTGGCTAACCAAATCAGTAGATAGTACTAACAAAACCGACTTTTCATTTTCTATTCGCTTTACTTTCTTTAACCTTTTTGTACAAATTGTGTGCTATCAAACTACACAAAGTTTGCTTTTTATAAGGAGAAAATAATTACACTACCTTTCAATATATATTCTCTCCTAAAGATTTTCTTCAACTTTCACTTTTTCCACCAATTCAAACATCCAAGTATATTTTTTTTTCTCTTTAACAAGAATAGACAATATTTACTGCTTCTATTGAGAGGAGCAGCACAACACCACATACAACACACCTCAATTGTTGTGCACAAGGAATATCCATAACTGCATCTTTTTTTTTTTTTTTTTTTTCTTTTTCTTTTTTCCCTTTGGAAATATATTTGATCATTATAGTGGATACACACACTACCTAATTCAAAAAGGAGTCAAGCATCTAACAGACTCTATTTGCTTGCTTCAATAATTAAATCAAGAAAAGACCGCCCCAACCGCTAAGCGACATTTGTAGGGGGTCATATATACACATATACACATAGACAAAAAAAAAGAATATAGAATTTGTTCAAGTCAATTAAGGGCAAACCGATGGTTAGCATTTCGATATTTAGTAGTTTAACCAGCACAAATAACATCAACAACAATAATAGTAATAGTAACAGTAATAGTAATAGTAATATTAAGAGTAGCAATAATGGCGAATCCAACGAGGAAGTGACACTGACACTCGATTCTTCATCGCCATTCGATAGTGGTAAAGAAACATATCGCTCAAGTCCCGATCTCAAACCCGTTTCTCGGCCACTGTCGAGAAATCGCAATCGATCAATCTCAATCACACGTTTTCTTTTCAACAGAGAAAATGACCTATCAAGCAATGTCAAAACAGAATCTTCATCCGACTCAACCAACAATTCCCCGTTATCAACGTCAGGACTTCATGCTGAACAAAACTCAGCAAATAGTAATGGAAGTGGGGGGTTAAGTAGATTCAGGAGTATGTTTCGACTACCTTCCAGTTCCATGGGTAGTCCTGAGGACAAGATTTCAACCCTGTCTGGCCGTGGGAGATCACTTTCAAGCCCATTCACGCAAACGGCTTCTTCACCTATCGGTAAACACAAAAAGTCCAGAAGCATCCTACTGGATGCTTCTAGGAACCTACCACAAATTACCACCACTGAGGTGCCATCAGAATCGCACGATCTCGCTGAGGCATCTACTCCTGTTATTCGGTCAAACCCATATTTCCAGCATCAAGGATTGCCTCCTCATTTAAGCGTATCCCAACCACCGCAATCAAAGTATCTAAGTACCAACAAATCCGATCTATTAGTGTCACTAAGGCATAATGACTCTGTTTACTCTTTGAATGAACATGGAATTCTAAAGCCGCCGAAAATACATTATAATCAATTTTCATCTGGAGACGAGTCTGAAGACTTTGAGGAATTTTCTTCAACGAAACCATCCAAGAACAAATATATCAATAAAATTGATGATAATGATAATAATAATAATAATAATAACAACAACGATGATGATAACTATGATGATAATTATGATGATGATAATGATGGTAATGATGGTACTGGTACTGGTAACGCCCTAACACTTGATGACGTGCTTTCAAAGTCTCCGGGAGTTGAGAGCAATGTTAGTCCACCATTCTCTCCGTTCCAGCGAGCATTGCGGAGAGTCGCGTCTGCACCATTGGTTCACAAATTAATGAGTGAAAAACAAGAAAACTCTTTGCCAGCACAACATCAAAACGAGGATGAGCCATTTGACATTAACAAGCATATTGGCGAGGTAAAGATTACAGGGCGTCCAAGAACTTATACGCAAGACCGAACGTATTCACATTCGGCTACAAAAGTGGTTGATGTTCAAGTTGGTCCCGATAGTTTTGAAAAAATCCGTTTATTGGGAAAAGGCGATGTAGGGAAAGTTTACTTGGTGCGAGAAAAGCAGTCAAACAAGCTCTATGCCATGAAGATTTTGAGTAAAAAAGAAATGATTGAGAGAAATAAAATTAAACGAGCGCTAGCTGAACAGGAGATATTGGCAACTTCCAACCACCCATTCATTGTAACATTGTATCACTCTTTCCAGTCGAAAGATTTTTTGTACTTTTGTATGGAATACTGTATGGGAGGAGAATTTTTCCGTGCACTTCAAACTAGAGAATCAAAAACTATTTCTGAGAATGAAGCCAAGTTTTACGCAGCAGAGGTTACAGCTGCATTGGAATACTTGCATCTAATGGGTTTTATTTATCGAGACCTCAAACCAGAGAATATCTTGTTGCACCAATCTGGACATATCATGTTGAGTGACTTTGACTTGTCTAAGCAGAGCGAAATTGCTAAAAATCCAGAGATAACATTCGCCAAGAACGGAATACATTTGACGTCCGGTGGAAACTCGCCACATAATGGACCCACAATAGATACAAAGGCCTGTATTGATGGTTTCAGAACAAACTCCTTTGTTGGTACAGAGGAGTATATTGCACCAGAAGTAATACGAGGTAAAGGTCATACTGGTGCAGTTGATTGGTGGACTTTGGGAATATTCATTTACGAAATGCTATTTGGCATAACCCCTTTCAAAGGCCACGATAGGAAGAAAACGTTTGCCAATATCCTCAAACGTGATGTAAAATTCCCTGATACTCAAGCAATATCGTCGAATTGCAAGATGTTGATCAAGAAGCTACTCATCAAGGAAGAAGAAAAAAGATTAGGGTCCAAGACAGGAGCTTCAGAAGTGAAAAACCACGCATTTTTCAAAAATACTCAATGGGCGTTGCTACGCCACCAAAAGCCACCAATGATTCCAGTCTTGACTAAATCACCATCGTCAACAACATCGACAACAACAGCAACAACAACGACGACGACGACGACAACAACAGCAACAGCAACAACAAAGAAGCACGAGCAGTTGCAAAAATCCAGAGAAGAGAATTCGCTGTCTTCAGTGATTAATATAAGTGGTAACGATATTATCGAAATCATTGACGATCCGAATGATCCTTTTGCAAAATTTAATTCGGTCACATTGCGGTATGGACAAGAGCCAGAAGAGGTTTCTAATTTGGATGCCATTTATAGCCCTGAAAGAAGCGCGTACACTAGTATTGCCTATACAATGACATCAAATGCAAACAGTCCAGTTAAACAAAAGGGATTTTTGAAACGGTAATTGTTAGATTTTTGATGCTAATACATATATTACATAGACAAAATTATTGTATGGGGAAAGTAAAAATATAATATGCCTCTTATTAAAATTAGAAGGTCAAATCTGACAATTTATTTAAACTTTTCTTCTCCTTCGTATTTTGTAAAACCTGCATCTTGGAAACCGTGTCTGCATACATGCATATAACAGATGCTGCAAAAAAGGTTAGATTGTAGAATGTCTATCATTGGTTGTCATGACAACCATCGAGTAGAAAAACAATAGGAGGATTGGATTTAAAGGAGCACGGGGATCGGGAAAAAAGAGAGCAATATGATGAATGAAGAAATAGGGGAGCACATAGGGGAACAAAGGGAACAAAGATACCCCCCCTCCCCCGTAAGCAGAAATATACCAGCATTGAGAGTAAAATCAATAATGTCTTCCAATATAATTTCCTATTGGAAGAAAAATAAAAAGTTCCAAACTAATATATATATATATACAAAAACACTTGAACCGAAAACTTACAAACCTTAAACGTAAATGAAAACAATTTTTAAGTAAACCTATAATGGGAAAAGGTAAAGCCTAATATCCCTCTACCAACTTCCACTTCCTCTCTTCTCTTACCTCCCATATCATCGTCCTGAAGTATAATGACCTCTTTTTTTTTGATTTTTTTTTTTCCCTCTATTCAATTATTATATTATTTTCTAACCACCCCTCTTGCTTTCTTTCTCTCTATCCGCGTCATCAATTCAACAATCGACAAAGTCAATGATCTTCAACTTAACAGCATTACATTGAGCTGCAATATTCTTGTCATATAAGTTGTAAAAATCACCACTCAAACATTGGTAGAACACTTTCGAGTCACCCAAAGTTAAGTAGCCATCACTTGAAATTGACCAGCCAGCTGCGAATATTGTACCAGCTTGTGGTGGTGGGCCATCAAATTGAAATTGACGATTAGCAACAATAGCACCAACTCTGCCTTTTGAATCCGATAACATTCCTTTCTTTAATGTCATTATAAGATTGTTTTTTGATGAACAAGCTTTTGGGATAGCTGATTCAAGTTCACTAGCGTGTCCAGTGACTTGTGGTTGACCATCACTTAATGTAGCAACAGCGGCAACGCGAGACTCAGCTGCAACAGTTGCATTTTCGTGTTGGACTTGACCATCAGAAAGCTGAGCAGCAGCGGTAACGTGAGATGGAGCAACCTTTGAGCTTTGATGTTGAATTTGACCATCTGAGATTTGGGCAATAGCAGCAACAGTTGATGGGGTTGCAGTGGTTTGGTGTTGGATTTGACCATCACCAATTTGGTTAACAACTGAAGCAGGAGCGGCAGTGGTTTGGTGTTGGATTTGACCATCACCAATTTGGTTAACAACTGAAACAGGAGCGGCAGTAGTCTGGTGTTGAATTTGACCATCACCAATTTGGTTAACAACTGAAACAGCAGCGGCAGTAGTCTGGTGTTGAATTTGGCCATCACCAATTTGGTTAACAACTGAAACAGCAGCGGCAGTAGTCTGGTGTTGGATTTGACCATCACCAATTTGGTTAACAACTGAAACAGGAGCGGCAGTAGTCTGGTGTTGAATTTGACCATCACCAATTTGGTTAACAACTGAAACAGCAGCGGCAGTAGTCTGGTGTTGAATTTGGCCATCACCAATTTGGTTAACAACTGAAACAGCAGCGGCAGTAGTCTGGTGTTGGATTTGACCATCACCAATTTGGTTAACAACTGAAACAGGAGCGGCAGTAGTCTGGTGTTGAATTTGACCATCACCAATTTGGTTAACAACTGAAACAGCAGCGGCAGTAGTCTGGTGTTGAATTTGGCCATCACCAATTTGGTTAACAACTGAAACAGCAGCGGCAGTAGTCTGGTGTTGGATTTGACCATCACCAATTTGGTTAACAACTGAAACAGGAGCGGCAGTGGTCTGATGCTGGATTTGGCCGTCTGTTATCTGGTTAATCACAGAAACAGCAGCAGCAGTAGTCTGATGCTGAATCTGACCATCTGTAATTTGAGCTACTGGTGCAACTGATGACTTACTCAGAACACTTCGGTAAGTTGTTGTTGTCACCACGTTTGGTTGACCATCAGATAATGTGTTGACAACCGCTTTATTACGTACAGGTAAAGCAGTTTCCAATTCCTTTGTTATATTTGCTGCAGTTTCAGTTGAAAGGTTAGCAGCAGCTTCAACCGTAACAATTTGAATACCAAATTTAGGTGCATAATCCGTAGTAGCACTGGAAGGAATTTTTCCTGTTGGTGTCAATGTCGACCATGGTGCTGAAGGAACAGTAGCCGCCAAGGCACTAGATACCAATGCGGCAGATGTAGCGATTGTGAGATATTTCATTATAAGATAAAGTTAGCTTGCAACTTACTTTCAATGAAAACAAATTAAAAAATGAGAAAAGTGTCAAGATTGTAAAAAAATAATCTAAATTTTACTCGGCCTTGGCTACTCCTTTATATATACTTCTATCGGCTTCAAACTTAGAACCAGATATGTAACAAAATGAAAAGAACATAGAAAAAGAGTAATAAAAAAAGAACAATAGAAACAAGTGTTAGAGTCAATATTAGAGGGGAGCTTTTGTTGCATTTCAAGTTGTTGGCTAAATCACAATTTTGAATGATGCAATCAAACCCGTGTGTGTTATAGCAAGCACATTGAGCTTCTATTGTATGTATTGGGGGAGCCATTCTTTTGTGTAAAAGGAAAAAGAAAAAAATTTGAAAATGAAAATTGGACAAGTAGGCTAAAGTTATTTAGTAAGATTACTTGCAAAAAAAAAAAAATATATACCTTCTGCTCTGTATCGGCATCTTATCTAGCAGTGATAAGATTAGTCATGATAAATACTTTAAGATGCAAATAGAGAAAAAAAGGGGGCGATGATTAGCAACGAGGATGAGATCAATGGATGATTGATCGGTGCTGGTTGTTGATTAGCGAAGAGTTGGCTGGTTGCAAATCACAATAGAATTTACTTTTTTTTTTTTTTTTCTCTCCCTCCGATACTATTTTTAGAATGAACATGAAAAAAGAAAACTAATTAGAATACTCCTTTCGGTTTATTACTTGCATAAAATATTGTTACTTATTCGGCGAAAGGTAAACCATGGAAAGACAATAAAAGAAAATGATTGAATAGCTCGCTTTTTACAAAGTAAATAGCTCGTTCCCAGTGGGTCCGAATTATCCCTCGTTGACGCCGTTTATGTATTGTTTTTTTTGGACAAAACTGGGTCCAATTTGGTAAGCATCTTATGGGAAAGGGGGAGGGAAGAGGTAAGAGAGTAAACATAGTTGAGGGAGAGAACAAAAAGAAAAAAAAAAATAATTGTTGAGCCAACAACAAATGAAAAAAATGGCTGGTGATTTTTTGATCGGTTGATTAAGCATTGCTTCTACATGACACCTCATACATACTATGAGGAAAAGAATCAAGTGCTATGTAGTACTCAAGCACATATACTTTCATGCTATTAAGAAACTTCTGAGACTTGTCACTTGGCGTTTCAGACAAGAGTTAAAATCCTAATATCAATTTCAGAAGCTCAGAAGTTTGGTACTAATTTTTTGTAGATTCTCTCTCTGTTTCTCTGTCTGCATGTCTTTTTCTTTTCTGTCAAATATTTTGACATTGCGAGTCCAGAGGGGCTTATCCCGAATTACTAAGTGTTATTTTTCATTTTCATTTTTTTTTTTTTAATTTTTTTTAAATAGGGTTAACGCCGAAAATAGGTGTGTTGTGCGTCAAGCCGATGTTTTTTTAGAACAGATTTTTGATCCTTAGTTCAATCAGATCATTATTATACGCACAGTTGGAATTATAGTAAATTTTAGAAGAAATGATAGTTACGTTATAGTGGAGAGACCGTTTAGATGAAAAAATATGTCCCGCAATATACATTGTTAAAAGCAATTACAATCAAGTAAGCTAAAATGGGCCTCTCCATTTATTGTAAAAAAATCCATACTTGAATGCTCTTTGAGGGATTCTTTACCGATAATACATGGCGCCAACTCTATTGGTATAACATGTGTGACTATAAATATATAGCTTAGGATAAAAGAAAGACACAGAGAGAGAAGTCAGTTGATGCCTGGCCTTTCAAGACACGCGTAGTTGGAGGTATTGAAGAATCGCCATACTTATGAAGATACGGATGAGTTTTAATACACACACACACCCATTCACATTTCTTGCCTAAGGCATTGTTTGCTCGCTCTACTTGACGTAAAAATGTATGATATATGGAAGGGAGGGACTACAAAAAGTTTGAGATTTTTGTATTAACAATTGATTTTGTTGATCCCAATTGTTTTTCCCCCTAGGTGTATAGGATACTCTGTAATCAAAATGAAGCAGTCTTCTTGTCTTCTTGTTGGGGATGAAAAACGAAACGTGAAAACATAGTTATCAAAATAATTCCACTACTAGTTGTGTACTTTGTTTATGAAAAAATACACTTTTGCGATTTCTATCAAAAAAAGAAAAAAAAAAGTACATTATAATGGAACCCATTTGTCCAAATATCTATACTTTTCATTAAGGCATTTATCTTAATGTCCAAATAGAGGTGAAAATTTGAAAGCCTACCAAGACTTACCAAACATGTCTACTTGTGAATATTAACAAAGTATATACAATGTTTGGAAGGTCTATTTTTTTTTTTTCAACCAAAATCATGTTCTAAATTATTTGGTAGCGTTTTTTCTCGATCTCTCTGCTTTGCAATTTGTATTAGATTTGCTTTATGCCAGGAAAAAGGAAGAAAAAAGCATTCAAGACAACAGGGCGTACTTTGTTTAGAAGTTGTCGTTGATTAGTGCTTTTCCCAAATTGAGAGGATATTTGTGCTACATACCATAGTTGCGATTCTGTTGCTTCTTGCCTTTGCAAATGGTGATTGAGTTCTTTTTCGTAGCTTAATAGGATAGCAAGGGTTGTTCAGCTGGATGAGCAACATAATAGAACTACCAGTTTTGTTTAGATATGGGTTGGTTATCCTCACATTGACTTCGAACATATGCACGTGTTTTGTTATTCGTTTCGTGAACAAATCAAGATTTGATTTTTTTTTATTCAACCTGTGGTGTTACACAACAGAAAAAAATGGTGGTTCAAAATTACCCCATTTTTGCGGACTTGTGAAGATTTTTTCTTTCTTTCTTTCTTTTCTTGTGATGATATTTAGATTCGTATGTTTTCCAACACAGTTTGCTTGTTCCCTTGAGGAATCAACTACTGTTGGAGTTACAATATAAAAAAGAGATAATGCCAGTATTTCTGTTGCCTTTCACACAAGATATTACTGATGGAAAATGGCTGCCGGATAGTACAAAGGTAACCAAAAAACCTGTATCAGTAAAACCTCTTAATTTTAGTTTTATTTTGCGGAAATGTAATTTTGAAACAAGTCCGTTTTCACTTTAATTCTATAGACTTAACTCGTTTCAGATAAAAGAATAAAGTTATAACCTCACAACGGTAAAAAATTATTGAATTTGACAGATGGATATAAGAAAAAGGTAGATTACAAAAAAAAGAAAAAATGCACACATCCATATCCACATACTCTGCATTAATTAAATAAAAAGATTTGCTGCAAATAACCAACTGGGAAAACTGTGTATCCTTTTTTTTTTCTTTCATTTTTCTTGCTAAAAAAAAAAACAAAGTTGAAAATAGTTCTGGTTCCACCAGAATTATAAAGATCAAATGTTCTTTTCAAGCCCTCAATTTCTATTTCACTAACAGTTACTGCATACTATTTGAAACTAAACCTGAGAACAGGATGAGGTGGGGAAATCCGGGGACAGAGGGGTAAAGGAAGATTTCTTCAATTCTAGAAATTTAGTTTCTATTGTCGTAACTGCAATGTCCCCACGCCGCCCAGCAACTTTTTGACTTCAAGCCTGAACAATTAGTACGTTCTTAAAATGAAAACGACACTGATCTTTTTTTTTTATTTTTATTTTTATTTTTTTCTTTCTGTTTTGCTCTTTTTATTTCGTCACCAGTTTCTTCACCATCTCGCATGACGAAACTATATTATAGAGAGATTCGAGAATTTCAGCTACACTATTCCATAAGAAGAATTTTTTCGCAATATTCGTAGTCATGTCAAAAGACGCCTTTGAATTACAAAAAAAACAAAAAACAAAAAAAAAAAATCTCAGTTCTTCTTGATTGCGGAAAAAGTAAACAAGAAACAATCATGTTGGCTTATAGGAAATAAGGCGAGAAATAGCAATTGCCTACTACAGCTGGTGGTATCATTCTATCAAATATGTCTCTTTCTTTTCTCCATTCTTTTTTCCTTTCTTAGCAAAAATTTTACTCGATTGAAAATTCTGGTGATATGATATTTTGCAACACGTGACACAAAATTAAAGATGACGATTCTTTGCACCTTATTCTCTTTTTTTTTTTTTTATCTTGCGATACTAAATAGTAAATTTTGCAGCCTTTAAGCTTAGGAAAAAGATAATTGGATTTTTGCTAGAAGGAATTTTTTTTCACTACAGGTAGAATACTTTCCATGTATATGTATATAAATATTCCACATAACTACGAAACACTCAATGACGTTCGATATTTATTATTACATAGGTACTGTACACTTGTTTTTTTTGTTTTTTTTTAAATTTGAGATAGGTTTGATTAGGAAGAAATAGGCGATATGATTAGCGGTTGTTTCTATAGCACTATACAGGTACTCTAATATAATACCCTTTCTTTCTGCCCCCTTTTTTATTGGACCCTGCTCATTTCCTGATAATAAATATGATCCAGAATTTATATATATGCTCGACATCATGCACCCAACCAATTTCCTTTCAATGATTCTATATCACAAACTCAAGAATATGAGGAGGAGGATTGCTCTTCTCGTATGAGGCAACCAAATTCTCGTATATGTTATCTCTCTTGAAACAAAACTGAATAGAACCCCTCCCACTCCAATACTTTACAGATGAATCTGGTTCTACAGGCATGTGACTTGTGCTAACTGGCGCAAAGTTTTGGTAGCACCTACTTTACCGCTTCGCTTGCATCAACACTTCAACTCAAGGATTATTCTGGTATGGAGTGGCTTGCCTTATACTTGTTTTTTTTCTCATATATATATAATTTTTTTTTTTTTTTTGTATCTATCAGAGCACACTGTACTCTATAATTTATAAATGAAAACTACTCAATAAAAATGGAAACAGGTTGTTCTCAATTCAACGTATGTTTTGTCCTTGGAGGAATTAATTAGACCCCCTTACATTAAGAGAGTAGCGTCTTGTCTACATTGGGATATAAATAAGAAAAACTTAGCTCTTACATTTTGAAAAAAACTAAAAGACAAATCAAAGTTTCAGGTTTTCCTTGTTATTTACAATTGTATGTTTATCTACCAGCAGTAACTAAAAAAGAAACAGGGGTATGTCTTGTAACTATGCCTGAAAAATAAAAAGTAATGTCAAATAAGCAAAACTTAAACAATCAACAATCAATACTTAACAGTTACACTTTAAATTCTCACAATAGCAAAAATCAGCATAATAAATCGACACAACCTCAGGTTATGTACACTCAAATCCAAGCCAATCATAGCTTTCAATTCCTCAATAATCAGCCATTTCAGTTTTATAATAATGCTCAAACTCCATTATATCAACACCAATCTCATTTGCAACAAATTCACCAAATACCTCAGCTGCAAAACCAAGTACTACTACTACAACAACAACAACAGCAGCAACAACAACAACAACAACAACAACAACAACAACAACAACAACAGCAACAACAACAGCAGCAGCAAATTCCCTTACAACAGTCTGATATGGTCCTTCCATCACATATCTCTTCCTCTTCGTCTTCTTCGATAGGTGATCAAATCCCACCACAAATTACTAATGAAAATTATTATTTGCAGACTTCAAGTGTCGCGCGCAATAATCCTGCATCTTACAGCTATAATTCGGAAAGTTCCAATTTGCAGCAATTACCCCAGAGCGAGTCCAAAATCGGAGTACCTCCTCCAGTTTTAATAGAAAAATCATCCGATATGTCTACAGGACAATTTCCAATAGACCAATCCAAATATTTGACACCCTCGTTACCGCTTTTGAACCCACTACAAAGAAGCTCAGCAAATCAACTTTTTCTACAGCCTCTGCAACTGCAACAACTACACCAACAAGCACATGAGCAATTGGCTTCTTACACAAAGAATGATGGCCAATTTGCGATGATTTATACAAACCACTCCAGGGCTAATGACACGCTATCATTTCCACCTCCGTCAGGATCAATGACTTTAGAAAAAAAAGAACGCAAAAGAAGACATACAACCACAGTCTATGATATGACACCGGAAACAGCTGAGAGGAATAGGTGTCGCATATGCGGGAAGCAATTCAAGCGTCCTTCATCTTTGCAAACGCACTATTACTCGCATACCGGCGAAAAGATATTCAAATGTCCTTGGCAAGAGTGTGGTAAACTATTTTCAGTCAAATCCAATATGACTAGGCACTACAAATTACATGAAAGAGATTTGAAAAAAGTCCAATATACAGAACTAGAAAGTAACAATTTCCAAACACAAACTTCCACAAACTCATATCTTATTCAAAACTCTCGGGAGTTTCTGAATCAACTGCAGCAATCGATACTCGGTAATGAGTCTCTACGGTCGCCCCATTCTTAACCACCATCACAACACCAACAACAACAATATTTGTACCCGGACTTGTCACAGTAAATCCGCGCATTACTCAATTGTTTTCCACTACCCAGACCCGTCTGTTGTGTTTTACCATTATAATGAAAGCACAAGTGTAAGCACGTATCACCCCTTGTGTCTTGTATTTTATAGTCGGCGCCAAACTCCAATAGCAACTTCAAACCGTCTTTGAAGTTGTATACACAGCTGAAATGCAAGGGAGTCCGGCATAGCTCACCACCGGGAAAGTTTAGCCAAAGTCTCCCAGGAAACTCTTGTAGTAGATAATGAAGTGTTTGTCTGATGAACTGTTTTTTTTTAGACAATACTTGCTAAGTTGAAAAGAAAAAAAAAGAGACGATTGCTTTTACTTTTACCATCAGTTTTAACCTCACATTCTCTAGTTTTATTTGATAACCACATACCTGAAATTCAATGCAAAACGGTTATTATTCACAGAGCTGATTCTAATAAAACCTTCTTTTTGTTAATTATAATTTTTACTTATTTATTTGTATGTAAATCTATTTATGTAATTATTTCGCGATCGTCGCTTCGAGGTAGAACTTATCGGGGTAAAAATGCCTCGGAAATGTGACTCGTCATTGAATCTAAATAAATTAACACGAGGAGGAAGAGGAGGAGGAGGAAGAGGAAGAGGAGAAGGAGGAAGAGGAAGAGGAAGAGGAAGAGGAAGAGGGGATGGGGAGGTTAGATATATGCAATTAACAGTTACGGGAAACTTCCGGTGAAGCCGCCTAGACTATAAGCCCTTTTTTTCTTGTTTTATAAGTGCCATTTAGTGGCTACATGGAGTATTGCTGACAAAATGAAAAAAAAAGTTAGACTAAGCTAGTATTACACTCTATCAGTTTTACATTCTAATTAGTTTCATGGTATTTCCCCATTTTAATTAGTTTAATGGTATTTCTCCATTTTGTGTTATTTGGACCAAACCATGAAGTTTGATAATCACAATTGGTAGAGATATCAAATTTTCAACACCAATGCACTACCCTAGATTCTTCTTTTTTTTTTTTTTTTCCTTCAGCCAACCAAAATTGGCCTGAAAAAAAAAATCATACTTAGTGCACCAGGATATATCGAGAACAATATTATCCATTTCCTCCGTCTAACTCCTAATTGACACCTTCCTAACAAAACGAATAACGATTATATTGCAATGGCTGCCGGACATTTTGCCAAATATATACGTCACGCTCCTGTGGCGAAACCCCACGTTCCTACATACATGTATTGGGGCTCTAAACTAATAGGTGCTAGTATGTGGTTTTGGATATTTTACAGAGTAAAAGAAGATGGCCCTGTAATGTTTGGAATGAAATTGCCATTTGAACATCATTAATTTCAATTAAGAAATGATTGAAGTTTTGATGTCGTCATTTTTGGGTCAGCTAAAATTGATGAAGGTTTAGGACATCTATTGATAAACCTTTTTCACAAAAATGAATGGAATGGCCTTTGCTGCTGCTGCTGCTGCTGTTGAACCAGTTGGCCTTTGCTGCTGTTGAATCAGGGCTCCACGTTGGCATTTGCTGCTGTTGAATCAGGGCTCCACGTTGGCATTTGCTGCTGTTGAATCAGGGCTCCACGTTGGCATTTGCTGCTGTTGAATCAGGGCTCCACGTTGGCATTTGCTGCTGTTGAAGCAGGGTTCCATGTTGGCCTGTTTTAAATAAATTTAGTCATTTTCCGAATATAAGAACTGTATGTGACTCAAGCACACATACTCTTTTCCCTCCAGCGGTATCAGTTTCATCGTCAACGGTCCGACTTTGACGATGTCGATAGTGTCAGTCGGTGCTGCTCCACTATCGGGCAGAGCGAGATAGTGTCGTCTACACAGGGAGGAGAGAATATTACATTTCTAACGGGTTTGATTTGACACACGGGTCTTTGTTGTAGATTCTTCTCTCAACTCACGCACACATACTCTTTTTCCCCCAGCGGTATCAGTTTCATCGTCAACAGTCCGACTTTGACGATAGTGTCGAGTCGGTGCTGGTCAATAGTATTGAGTCGGTGTTTCTCCACTATCTCGCTCTGCTAGCTAAGGAAGCATTTTATTCATTGCTTATTCCCGACGCTTCGGGTTTTACAAATCAGGTAGCACCAGAGACTTGTATAGATTGTCATGCCAGTATATAATAAAAATAAAAGGGCGGATAGCAATTTCAGATTCAACTAAAAAAAAAATAAAATAAAAAATAAAATAAAAAATAAAATAAAATAAAAAATAAAAAATAAAAAATAAAAAAGAAAAGAAAAGGTAAGAGAGCTCAAAGCACCGCGCGTTCCTCAAGAGGAGTGGGGATTGGTGGCTATGAGTATATAACAGAGGTCCGGTGAGGGACGAGGGACGAGGGAGTCGAGTTTTAGCGAGTAAAAGTAAAAGTTTCTCCTCAGGTATTTCAAACGGGGGGGGGGGGACCCATTGCAGCTGAGTTTTAGGAATATTTTTAGTTAAAAGGGCGATGTGATTTTTTGAATAAGTTTTCATCCCTGCCTCACGCCCTAATCTACTAATTTGTTTGCTCTCCATAAAAATACAGCCTTTGACGACAACTACCTTGGGTTTTGTTGTACTTGTCTACCAATTTTTAGAAAGCTAAAGGCAAACAATTGTCATTTACAATTTTCCTGTTCCTCTCAACCGCAATACTAAATTAAAGTTGGGTTTAGTTTTTAAATGCTATAGTAATCTTTTATTCTATCAATTAATCAATTTTATTATTATATTTAGTTGGTTACAAGTATACATGGTTTTCTTTTCTTTTTTTTTTTTAATAAATCTCTTTAATCCTTTAATAGATGACAGGCGTGTTTGGTTTCTGAAGTCTTGAGTAACGGAAAGTTTTTTTTGAGCCGTCACTATTGTACTATTTCAATACTATGTTAGGATGCTAGATCCTTCCAGTCGGTTGAGGAATGCGGTTATCGAAGGTAATCTACCTATAGTCAAGAGGATTTTATCCCGATTTCCCGAATTATGGTTGAATTTGGATTCAAATCATAAAGGATGGTCGAATTTACATTATTCTTCTTATTATGGCCACTACCTAATATGTTTCCACTTGATAGCATTTATAAACAAGACATTAGGAGAACTATCAAACGCATATACGGAACTTGACCTTCTCACCTTTGATAACATCACTGTATTACATTTGTGCATGGAGAAACACCATTCACAAACACTTCATTATCTACTACAAGAGTTTCCTGGGAGACTTTGGCTAAACTTTCCCGGTGGTGAGCTATGCCGGACTCCCTTGCATTTCAGCTGTGTATACAACTTCAAAGACGGTTTGAAGTTGCTATTGGAGTTTGGCGCCGACTATAAAATACAAGACACAAGGGGTGATACGTGCTTACACTTGTGCTTTCAGTATGGTAACATACAATGCTTAAGAGAGCTAGTAAACCATATAGTACTAAGTTCAAAAAGCAAGACGCTAGCGGAAAAGACTCTCTCGAGTCTCGAGAATACTAGAAATAAGCAAGACTGGTTGGCAAAAGATTACGCGTCAAGCTTTGACTTGATCAAGGAGTATGAGAAAATGAAAAAGGATATCTTACATCATGACTATTCGACTTTACCACCGGGATTTATCGACCCACTGAGCTTTATCAACGATTCAGAAACACTGTTTGAAGCTGAAAATAAAGTACTTTCAAGTCCATTTGTGCTGATGACAATGCAAAGTATTGATGAGGATGCTAAAAATGGGAGAAAACATGCCAATTCATTACCGAGCAACCGCAAGTTACTGTCAAACTCAGTGCCAAATGGAAGAAATAGGTCCCACACTTCATATTCAAATAAGCATCCAGTAGGACTAACCATCTCGACCGGAACCGACAAGCCCACATTACCGAGCCTGAAATCCTACTTTAATTTCCAAAGCCCGGTAATAGCTCCCTTGACACCTTTGACGACACAGCAGCAACAGCCCTCCATCCATAAAACGCATTCTTTAAAGTCTGTCACAATATCACCATCAGTTAGAGGAGCAGTATTCACCAGTAATAATTTAGAAGACGAGCCTAGTTCCCCGCAATCAATCCTTTCCAGTGCGTCATCCTACACAATCTCACCCAATTCCAAATCAAATACCAGAAAGAAAAGCTATTCTTTTTCAAGAGGAGCTTCATTACCCGCAATTGCGTCAGGAAACATGCACTGGCCATTAGTTGAGAAAAAACCCGCGTCTGAAGAACCAGAGCGGCTGCTGTCTGCTGTATCTCGACCACTGCATGAATTTAGATCAAGAAGAAACTCGTCAACTTCATCAATTGCTGCAAAAGTTGCATTTAATTCGAGCAGGTCCTCTTTAAATCAACAAGAAAGTCCACGAAAACTAAAGCCAAACAAGACACAAAATGCAAAATCAAATAGCATTAATAGCACATCATCTACAGGAAGCATGAGCAGTTATAATAGCGGTCCTAATAGTGTAGACGCATCTCCTAGTGTCGGCACCGAAACATCAGAGAGTTTCCAAAATGCACCAGGAGAACAGTCGAGTATGCCTACTACTGCTATCACCAATAGTAGTAGTAGTAGTAATAGTAATAATAACATTTTGAGAAAATCGAGGTCTTCTGGTACTTTAGCATCTCAAGAAAATGCTAGAAGTGTGATGTATCAAAACCGCAGTGCAAATCTCAGCATGGCTTCCATAAATAGCAATTCACATGAAGGATTGAGAAAATATACAGTCAATAGCATCAGTTTTAGCAGAGTTCGATAAAATGAAAAGAAGAACGATGAAGAAATATTATATAGAAGTATTTATTGCATAGGAAAAGGAAAAAGAGAAAAATTTGATGGAAAAAGCTCACTATCGAGCGACACTATCGAGCAGAGCGAGATAGTGGAGCAGTACTGAATAGCTTGTTACGACACTATCGAGCAGAGCGAGACAATGTCAGTGTGCTCCACTATCTCGCTCTGCTCGATAGTGTCGCTCGATAGTGTCGCTCGATAGTGTCGCTCGATAGTGTCGCTCGATAGTGTCGCTCGATAGTGTCGCTCGATAGTGTCGCTCGATAGTGTCGCTCGATAGTGTCGCAGCTTGGTGTGCAGGTGTCACTTTCGCATTTCAAGAATTGTTGTACCAACCAGAAAGTTGATGGACAATCGTGTAGAATATAAAGAGACGCGTTGTAGAAACCCCCCATTTTATCTTTTTTTTTTTTCACCAACCCTGTACCCATCTACATCTTCTTGAACGCGTTGTAAAAGTGCTTTGCTTTTAGTAGGGGGGAGAAAAAAAGGAGAGGAACAAGTGTGAGGGTAATGGCGCCAAAGAGACAAGTTTCTATTAGTCATTTTTTCCCCAGTCAAACCTCCAAGTCGTCTTCTGAAGCACCAGCAAAAAGTTGTAATAACATTGTTCCGCCAAAGGTAACGGCTTCTTGTTCAAATGGTATTGACAAATTTCAGTATTCTAGAAGAAAAAATTTGGACAGGAGGGAAGAAAAAGTGGCGACTCCATCTTCAGAGGACACAAGTGTCCCTTCTTTGAGCATTGCTGATAATGATGAAGATACGGTTGAGACTCTGAGCTTAAATGCGATAGAGAAATTTCAATACGAAACTCATTTGTCCGATGACTTGTATCAAACTCGAGTGGAGGAATCCTTGAAGAAAAGACTGGCAAATGAGGAAGTTCAACTAAATCATAAATCAAAAAAGGCTCGTGCTACTAAACTTACCCCGTTGGAAGGTCAAATAGTTGAACTCACCGAGAAGCATCCTGATAAAGTCCTCTTGATTCAAATTGGATACAAGTATAAAGCATTTGGCGAAAATGCAAAACACGTTTCAAAATGTCTCAATATAATGTATATATCAGCATCTGATCCAAGGTTTTCATATTGTTCTTTCCCAGAGAATAGACTACATATCAACCTTCAACGAATTTTGAATTCGGGAGTTAAGGTAGGAATAGTCAAGCAAATGGAATCTGCAATTATCAAAGAAATCGATAAAGTTGGCAAGAGTGGCGATCTAATTAAAAGAGAAGTTACAGGTGTTTATACCAAGGGTACATATATGAGCGATGAATTCATTGGAAGTAATTTGATTCCAAATTCCGATGAGCACGAAAACCCCAACTATATTGTTTGCATTAATGAAACTTCTCAAGGGGATTTTGCCGTTGTTGCTGCTCAACCATTAACCGGTGAGATTATCTATGATGTATTTGGTGATAATGTAGGCCGCGAGGAATTGGAGACGCGATTACTATATCTTCGGCCAAGCGAAGTAATTGTTATAAACAAGGAGGCTGAGATTTGTGCCAGTACATTGAAATGTCTAAAATTGATAAATCAAGAGTTGAAGATTGAGCATAAAACTGTTGAGCCTAGCGTATTGAACTCTTACTTGAACCCAAGTATAGTGGAGTTTTACAGGTCAAATTTCCCCTTATCTATTCAAGAATGCATTTCAGAACTTCTCAAGTATTTAGCAGAATTCAAATTGAGCAACATTTTCACAATACCTCAAAATTTAAGCACATTCAAGGATTCTAGAAAGTACATGATTCTTCCTGCCAACACTTTAAACGCATTAGAAATATTCACAAACTCCACCAATCCCAAGTCTCCGAAAGGTACGCTTGTTTGGTTGCTAAATCACACACGGACAAGATTTGGGGATAGACTTTTGCACAAGTGGCTATCAAGACCATTGATTGAACGCGATAGGATTGAAGAAAGGTACCAAGCGGTGGAGGATTTGAGTAATCAGTTTAATCATGTTGTTGACTCCTTGATCAAACAGTTGACTAAAATCGGTAAAAACTTGGATTTGGAAGAGCTTTTGATCAAGATTCACTATTCTGCTACCACGCAGTCTACTAGGATCAATAGAAGTCAAATCTTTTTGATGTTGCAAAGCTTTAATGATATATTAAAGTTGGTTAAGCTGTTTGAAAAAACAATTATGGGGTCATTAAACTTGAAATCTCCCTTACTAACTACCATGTTGAAGGATTTGCTAGAACTGTCAAAGACTGACATTGTATATAACTTCACAAACATGATCAACCCAGCATACTTGCTTAATGAACTGAGGGACCCTTTTGAGCAGAAAACAAAGTTTTTCAACTTGAACTATGGCTTCGATGATATTAAACACGAGTTTGAGGAGATTAGAAATGTTGAAAAATTATTGGACGAAGAATTGTTGAAAATTAGACGGCTTTTGCAGCGGCCGCAATTAAAGTACGTGACGAGTAATAGAGAGCCATATTTAATTGAAGTTCGCAATGGGAAACAAGTGGGCTCACTTCCGGCGTCGTTTTCCAAAATCAATGGGACATCAACAGTAAGTCGTTTCCGTTCGAAAGAAGTATCCGACCTATATAAATTAAAACAATATCACGAAGAAATGTTGGTTCAAAAATGCGATGATGCATTTGTTGAATTTTTGCAAAATATAGATTCTCAATATGGGTTTTTTCAAAAAATTGTCAAGCATTTAGCTGTATTCGATTGTTTGCTTTCTTTGACTGCAATAAGTGTGCTAAACACCAAAGTGAAACCAACATTGACTGATGAATTGGGTATCAATGTGAAGAATGCACGTCATCCAATTATTGAGCAATTGAGGGATAACTATGTTGGTAATGACATAAATATTCAATATGATTCCAATCGAGCGTTGATTATCACAGGTCCAAATATGGGAGGAAAATCATCGTATGTGAAAATGGTTGCGTTGTTTACAGTCATGACTCAAATAGGGTGCTATCTACCATGTGAATCTGCAACAATGGGAATATTCGACTCGATATTTATAAGGATGGGAGCCAGTGATAATATTCTCAAGGGTAATTCTACATTTATGACTGAGATGTTGGAATGTGCTAATATTATTCAGCATTTGACAAATAGGTCATTGCTTATTTTGGATGAAATTGGTAGGGGAACAGGAACAACTGACGGAATAGCATTGGCATATGCAATTTTGAGATACTTTATTGAATCTGAAAAAAAACCTTTACTATTATTTATCACTCACTATCCATCAATCCATGTCCTTGAGCACGATTACCCAGGGGACGTAGTCAACTATCATATGGGATTTGAAGAGATTGCCAGTAAAGATCAAGATTTCCCCGAAGTCATATTTTTGTATAACTTGTGTCGCGGGGTGGTTAATAGTCTGTATGGATTGAACGTTGCTAAATTATCCGGGATACCTAACGATGTAATTTCCGAAGCTTATAAAGTTAGTGAAGAGTTGAAAAACAAGATTGAGATGGAAGATAATATTCATTTACTAGAGACATTGAGAATGGTTTTGCAACAAAAAACAAGTATGGAAAACATTTTCAAGTTTCTAGATTGAAAAAATCTAATACTAAAGCATTGAATGCTTTTGGATTGTCTAAATAAATGTGATGGCCCGCATCTTGGACTATTTCAAACCTGGTTAATGTTTCGTTTTTATTTTGAATTTTTTTGAATATGTATTCTCCTCCTTTGTGATTCATCCAGTCCTTATCACCATAAACCCACATGTTACTGATTTTCTCATTTGCAAAAAAATCAACTAGACCTCTATCGCAAAGCGGGAGTCGAGCTAAAATTTGATGGTTAATGAGTTTTGTAATTGCTAATTCCCCTGATCCTTGATACTGATTAAAGATTGAATACGAATAATCATGCAATTTAAGAATTAAACCATGTGTATCATCGGACTCGCTGAAATTTTTGAATCTTTGAAACGACCAATATGACAAGATTTTGGAATAAAAAGGTCCCAATTTTTGTAAAACTTCAAATGCCGACATATTAAATTGCCATAGTTTTTGTAAAATATAGTTTTTGGGGAATTTTGGTCTACCTAAAGTGTCCAATAATTTTGTAAACTCTTCATTTATTACTACTTTGCCGTCTTCTTCTTCTATGACCAACTCTTGAAAAGGATCGTTTGTGCCGTGCAAGTTAATATCAAACTTCTTATTATTGATTAGACTGTGCTCACTTGATTCGGTACCCATAGGACTAATTAAAATAAGGTCGTCTACCAACTTTTTTCCATTTTGATTATTGTGTTTCATAAGATAACAACAAGAGAGATAGGCACCCATGGAATGACCGATCAACTTGAAATGGTCGATGCGACGAATTTTCCTCCAGCTCTCTATCTTGTCAATGAACCAACTTTCAATTTGTAATATCTGATATATTTTATTCTTGAGCTCTCTTGGTTCAGTTAAAAACTCCTCAGGAAACTTTGCTCTTGAAGAGTTTCCAAACCCTGGAAGGTCTATTATATGTAGTCTCACTCCCATTATTGATACCAACAGCTCAATATTTTTGATGAAATAGCCGAGGGCAGCCATGTATCCATGAATGATCACTATATGTTGCTCGGAAACAGACCCTGTTTCGTTATTTTCTAGATAAAACTCGTGGATAACAGTACCATCTTCGAGTTCGACATCCATCAATTGTCCCCATATAGTGTTTTCTGAGTCACCAGTTTCCTCCTCTTCTTTCTCATCAAGAGGCTTGATATAAATCTTACTTGGAAGCACCGCTCTAAATAAATCAAATTCAATTTTCCGGTTTCTTTGTTTCGCTTGTTCAAGTATCTCATCCTTCTTTGTATTGGACTTTGTCTCTTGTCTCAATCTTGTTGGACTCGACCACCAATCTTGAAATGATTTGGTAAGCGGTATTGAGTTGATGGAAGAATTTGTGGAAACCGAGGTTTCGTTTGCTTGTGAAAAAGAAGAAAATAAAGAAGACGAAGACAAATTTGTAAAGGATTGGGTATTTGGATCGCCCATTATTTGTATCGAGTCTCTAATCAAAGAGGTCATGGCTCAAAATTATATTAATTTTCAAGGGGGATCTGGATCTAGATTTTGATCCTTTTCCCTTTTATCTCTTCTTATCTTAAATATTGCGGGCCCGGAAATCATTATATCCGAGGGCACTAGAAAAAAAAGATAAGCTATGATGTCGCCGACACTGAAAAATAGTCTATAATGTCGTCGACACTGAAAAGATAGTGATGATGTCGTGAGCACTCGTGGCGACATTTATATATAGATAAGAAAATAAACGACTCTGACTCTGACACCGACATCAAGATCTTTTATATAGAAAAGTGCATGATGCAAAAAAATACAAGAGCAGTGTAGTACAAGAGATAACTTACTTTCAAAAGCAAAATTGACGTATAAATCCAGCTTGTATGAAGCATATAATGACTTTACCCTCTTTCGAGAGTCAACTATACAATTGGTTGTCTCTTTTTTTTCTCTCTCTCTCTCTATTGCAGTTGCTTATTATCTAGCTCACTATAAGCAGGAGGACCAAAAACTTGTCTAGACGCACCATCATTGATGTTACTAGTTCCACTACCGCTGCCACCTTCACCAACGGCCCCATAATTAAACAGAGGTTGACTTTGAGGCTCCTGTGCAATACTCCTGGTATTTTCATCACGATGAGGACGGGTACATCGGGGACCCCTTCCTGGCTCAGCTGGTGTTTGATTCTCTAAATCACTTCTATAGACAAAGTACACTCTAGATTCTTCATGGTTATAATATGGTGGATACTTGGCAATAATATACCATGAATGTATTAAGCCTGGGAAATAGCCTAGAAACATTAATAGAATATTGATCAACGAGTCATACGAACATATACCTCGACAAATCCATACCGGTAACGGTGGGAAAAATACTGATAAAACAATTAAGCAAATATCCCAAAGGCACAAGCACATTGTTTTCGAACTTTGTAGATCCCTCTGCGCGCGCGTGTGTGTGTGTGTGTGTGTGCCTGTATCTGTGTCGATCGGTAATGAGTTTTTGCCTGTATCTGTGTTGATTGGTAATGAGTTTTTGCCCCTTGATGAGATAAGGGCATTTGGTAAAACAAAAAAATAAAGTATCACTCACGTTTTCAGTGAGTGTCGCAAAATGTTTTTTTTTTTTTTTTGACAAGATATTTTTCTTTTCCGAAATATGTGACATTGACTGTTTGTCATTAGAGTGGATCATTTCGCCATCAATTGGGGTACATCAAAGAGAGTAAAAAGTATAAAAAGAAAGAGTTGAAAAAAGTGGACTATAATGGCAACGATATCACTCAACGTCAGCTACTTGAACCAGTCGAAAAAGCTTACTGTTTCCAAATCCTCGTCAGTTTCTCAATTAGTGTCTCAATGTTTAACGGTGTATAAGGTTGATTCTTCGAGTTACAGGGGAGAGCTATACCATAATGACAAATTGATAGACTTGGGATTGCCAATTAGGTTAACGAACCTAATCAATAATTCCAAACTAGTTTTGAAGGTCAAGAAATTGGATTTGAACAAAATGATAAATGTAAAATTAATCACTGAAAAGGGTTCTTTGGTTGACAAATGTAATGCAAATATACCATTGAGTCAAGTGTTGAGCCAATTTAAAGTGGATACTTCGAAACCTACTCAGTTGCGAATACTAAACTCGACAGTAAACTGGGCTAGATATCAAAGCACAAGTCTTGGCTCACTTTTAGGAGCTGCCGATAGTGTTGCAATGCGTTTAGAGTATACAAGGACGACAAAGGAAGAAGAAGCTTACCATAAGAAACAACAGGAAGCGGTGAAGTTGCAAATCGAGCAAGAGAAAAAGAAAAGACAAATTGAAGAGGAAAAGAGGAAATTAGAAGAAAGGGAGAGGGAGAAGGAGAAGGAAAGGGAGGAGGAAAAGAGGAAATTAGAAGAAAGGGAGGAAAAAGTAGCAGAAGCTCGTGCAGCAGCAAGTAAAGAGGCTGAAATGGACACAGGGCTTGTTAATGCCGCGCCTACAACTGAGGATATCGAAATGATAGAAGGGGAAGAAAGAGTAGGAGTGGGAAAAACTTCAACAACAAAGGGAGAGATTTCACGTCTGGAAGCCACGTCTGCTTCATTTGTGTACCAAGAAGAAGAACTCAAAGAAACACCTCAATTGTATGTGCCTTCAGATAAACCACAACCGTCATACGAAAATCCTGATGAAGACTATCATGTGACTGTGCATCAAGTAAAAACGTATCAAAATGCCATTCGGAATTCTGCACAAAGAACCAAAAAGAATCCCAATGGTGGTGGTAAAATACCACCTAGATATTTAATCAGGATCAAATTCCCCGATGGATCAATGCTTCAAATAAATTTACTTGAAAACGTTTCCGAGATCAAGTTTGGGAACTTAATCAAGAAAATAGATGAATTATTGCTACCACAATTTATTGACAATTATAGTTTGAAAATTGGATTCCCACCATTCACCAAATTGAACCAGTCGTTTACTTTGAACCAAGAGTATCTTTACAAACTACCCGATTTCCAAAATGAACAAATCATTTTGATTTGGGAGTTAAGCAAGAACAGTTTGAATAAGAAGGGGCCCTTTTTGAATAGTAATAGCAAGGATTTAGTAATCAAACAAAGCGACGAGTTGCCCGAACGAATTTTAGAGAAACACAGAAGTGAATTGCCTAGTGATACCTCAAGCGGAAAACAAAGTAGTAGACCTAAACTGGCCTTATCGAATGAAGAGGATAAAAAAGGTAAGCATAAGTTGAAGATACCAAAATGGATGAAGATTAATAAATAAAAATGAAAAAAATTGAAAAAAATTGAAAAAATTGAAAAAACGCACCTAATCGGAGACCCTTATCACCCGTAAACGGGCTAGAAAAAACTTTTCTGAAACCAAATTATGAGTGGTTCACAAGTGGAAGAAACTGCTATACATATATATACATATATATATCGTATTATATGTATGATATATATATTCTATTGTGTGTATAACGGTATATATATAGTTTCCAGGTAAAGTGTTTCTCACTGTCTCGGGATCTTGGATGCAGTCAAAAAATGTACTTGTCACAGAAACTACACCCATTGATTCAATTTCAAATCAATTTTTGAGGCTTGAAACATCACTTATACCTCTCTCCTGATTGTAGGGAAACAGGGAGAAACCAATCTATATGACTCATAAGTGGAATTAAGCGCGCTTTCCTTATTTGGCTTCGGCAAAGGGTCGTATGAGGGAGGGGCGTGTACCACTGGTAAATTTAGTGAAAAATTCAAACGAATCATATAAAGGCCAACTAATAACCAAATTTTGTTGAAAATTTTCACCATCCTTTTTTTCTCTTTTCTCTTATACCATCTATATATCAACTAAAATTAAATTCAACAAACACAGAGTATAACATTTTATAACGTTTTATAACATTTTATAACATTTTGCCGTTTTCCCATTTATCACAGTTACACTAAATTTTCAAAATGTGTGCTTAAATATTTTTGTTGATATTTTACAATTTCAGATAAAAAGTAAAGAAGAAGTCTTACTTTATTTATCGTTAACCTATAAATAAACTTGAAAAGAATTCACTTTTTTTAAAAAAAAAAATCCCTGCTTGATATTTTTTTTTTGGTTTCTAATCAATCCTTTCCCCTTATTCAAATATGTTGAAATAGATTAATTTACTACCTCCACCGTCCATTATGGCGTACCATCTCGTTTTACTAGAATTATTACTACCCCCGTTAGATTAAGATACGAAGAAAAAGAACCGTTAAAATATAAAATCTACCCAATACCAAAATATATCTCAAATGTCTGTTAATACTACTAATACTACTACATTGCTAAAGTCAGAGGACCCAGCGATTGAGCCCGCTGCAGCTACAAATGAATCCTTTACACCAAAACTGACAAGTGTCGTTGGTGAGGAAATTGCGTCACCTTTTCAAATCCATTCAAGCGTATTGGATTCTGTCTTTAGTACGAATCTTGATGGAAAAGAAGACGCTATGTTGGACCATACTCCCATGTTTGACGAGCTTGACTTTATCATTGATGGTGTCAATGTTAATTCCAAGGATGATTGGGTTGCTTTGTTTGAAAAGGAGGATGAAGATGAAGATGAAGATGAAGCAAATCTCACTTCTTTGGCTCGTTCAGGTGCTGCTAATGGTCCGATTATCTCTTTAGACAAGTGTGATGGTGGAAAAGAAGTTCCTTTGGACGATTTAATGTTGGAAGCTTTATTGGTTGAACCATTACCAAATGGTTTGACTGATGAAACTATTTCCACTGCAACTACCCCTGTTTCAGGTCTGGAAATGGCAAGCACCGAGTGCACCAGCATTGCACCACCAGCACAAGCCGCCACATCAAGGGTTAAAAAGAGAAGCTTTAAAGAAGTTGAACAAACTCAATTGTTCACTCCAAATCCTTCATCTACATTACCAACTCCGCAGTTGGATGTGAAGAGACCCGCTACTACTACTCCTACTACTCCTACTACTAATACTTTTACAAAGAAGGCTGCAGTTGATCATTTGGGATGTGTGTCTTATTCCAAGAAGCAAAGATCACAATCACTCAAGCCAATTGATCTCAGCGGAATCGAAGATTTGACTGTTTTGAAAAGAGCCAAAAATACAGAAGCTGCTAGAAGATCAAGAGCTAGAAAGATGGAGAGAATGTCTCAATTGGAGGACCGTGTTGGTGGATTGTTGAAAGAGAATAGTCAGTTGAGTCTAGAGGTTGAGAGATTGAAATCTTTACTCTGCTCTAATGGTATTAGTTTTTGAGTTTTTTTGTCAAAGTTTGTTCATATGTATTTAGTTTTTCTTTTTAATTTTTCATACTATACTGTACTAAAAAAATCCGGTACCCTAGGGCTTTGTTTTTTACACGTGTCATGTCAGTTTATGCAAGGGGACTAAATTGAATAGGCAAAATTTCAGACAAACACGGGTTTGTGCCTTTCTCTCGTAGGATGCCGTGAATTACCGTAAGCAGCACCATGCAAGAGGCGTATAAACTAATATACATTGCAATGTTAAAAGCGGTGACTAGAAAGATATCAATATCTGGAGGATCTAAATTCATATAAATTAATTTTTTTTTTTTTTTTTTTTTTTTTTTTTTTTTTTTTTTTTTTTTTTTTTTGATAAACTATATAGGAAAGGTTTTTAATTATCTATACAATATGAAACAAGAAAGCCTTTACACAGAGATATAAAACACCAAAAAGGAAACAGGAAATGAAACTTGGTTTAAGATAGTAGATAAGTACTCTCACCATTTAAGAATTTGTTGTTGGTGCTTGACTATGTCGCGTCATATTCATCTACGGCGATTTCAATTTACAGATTCCTTTTTTATTTTTATTTTTTTTATTTTTTTGAAGAAAAAAAAAGTAAGACTGAGGTTTGAGAAAATATGGCTAGCATCACTTCAAAAAGTGAAAAATCTGTCAACAAAGAGTACAAATACAAAACTGAGTTTATACTTTTTACGAGAAAGCATTAGTCGAGGAAAAAACAAGCTTTGTTATTTTCGACTTATTTGGGGGTGGTTGGGGGGTTGTAGACAATTTTTTTTTTCACTTAGAGCGAAAAGGATTGAAAATTGGAAGATAGGAATCTCCGATGGAGCCAAAACCAAAGCTCTGTACGTTTGAAGACTAAAAGTCTCTGACAATTTCAATTATCTTTGGTTAGTCTTATTATTGATGAGTAACCGTTTAAACGAAAAAAGAAAAGAAAAAAAAGAAATAAATTTTCATATTCTGACATAAACCCATACCTCAATACAAAAAAGCAACTATTCTCTATGGGTAGTTGAGGAAGGATCAGCTCAAAAATCCTTATCTAAATTAAAACAATAAGCAATTGTACTAGAAGCATCGGATTTTTCTTGCATTGTGAAAAAAAATCTCTAGTATTATGGTGTAGAAAAAGAGCCAGAGAAAGAGAGAGAGAGAGAGAAAGAGAGAGAGAGAGAAAGAGAGAGAGAGAGAGAAAGAGAGAGAGAGAAAAAGAGATAAAGAGAAAGTGAAAGGGTCTTACTTAGCGTCGTTATCATTTCTTGTCTCAAAGTCAATAACCCCAAATTCTATCATTTCCTTTTCTCTTTTTTATAAAAAAGGATCAAGTTTCTACCTGCAAACAAAAGTGACTCAATATTGAAGCTATTACTACCCCCTTTCCTCTCCTTCCATCCTTAGATACCATCTCCTATATACCTAGTTTAGATATAGATTATCCATCTCCTATATATCTAGTCTAGATATAGATTATCCATCTCCATCCCAGTATCTATATTTAAATACTGAAAGTCTTATTTTCAGCTATTTTATCATGGGTTACAATGATGACAGGAGTAGCATATCTCCAGTAGAGGAGGAAGGAGATCCCGAAAAAAATATATCTTTGACCAACGAAAAGATATCGGAAACATCATATGATGACGATGTTAAATATCTCGGTCAAGGTTCATCAATCACAGCTAGTGCTACAGAAGTAGACGAAATTAAAATCAATTTTGTAGATCGTTGGGCTCATAAGCTAAATGCTGAAACAAAAGGTATTGACTTAGTCACAGATGAAGAGAAAACTGAGTTTTCTATATGGAATTCGGCTTCAATGTGGTTGAGTGCCAATTTAGTAGTTGCTACTTTTGCTTTAGGTGCGCTAGGTATAACCGTTTTCAAATTAGCATTTGGTCAAGTCGTTTTGATCATTATATTTTTTGCAGCATTGGGTGCCTTTACCGTGGCTTATTTTTCATGTTTTGGACCTCCTTTAGGTCTAAGACAAATGATATTATCCAGATTTCTTATTGGTGATATCACAGTGAGAATTTTCAGTTTTATCAATGTTATTGCTTGTGTAGGATGGGGTGCGGTCAATATCATGTCCAGTGCTCAATTGCTACATATTGTTAATAATGGGGCCTTGCCTCCTTGGGCAGGATGTTTAATCTTGGTTGTATGTACAATTTTGATTACATTCTTTGGATATCATGTTATTCATCTTTATGAGAAATGGGCCTGGGTTCCTAATTTTATTATATTCATAATTATAATTGTTAGATTTGCCATGACTCACTCTTTCCACAGTGCCGGATTTGTCGGTGGGCAAACTACGGCTGGGAATGTTTTAAGTTTTGGCGGCACAATCTTTGGATTTGCTACGGGATGGACAACATATGCTTCGGACTTTACCGTTTACCAACCACGAAATCGTAGTTTGCCCAAGATATTCTTTGCCATATTTGTTGGGTTATATGTACCTTTAGTTTCCGTTTTAATCTTGGGTGCTGCCTGTGCTACGGGAATTGCAAAAAAACCGGAATGGGCCGAATTGTATGAAACAAAGTCAGTTGGTGGATTAATCTATGGTATTTTGGTTACTGATTCGTTACATGGCTTTGGTCAGTTTTGCTGTGTTGTTTTGGCATTATCTACAGTTGCAAACAATGTTCCCAACATGTACTCAATGGCTCTAAGTGCTCAAACTTTGTGGACCCCCTTATCCAAAATTCCTCGTGTTGCATGGACCATTCTTGGAAATTGCGCTACTTTGGCTATATGTATCCCAGCATATTACGATTTTGCTTCCGTTATGGACAATTTCATGAATTTGGTTTCGTATTACTTGGCTATTTATGAGTCTCTTATGTTAAGTTCCCATTTGATATGGCACAGAGGTGATTTTCGAGCTTACGATTATACGCAGTATGCGAATAAGCAAGCGTATCCCTTGGGATTAGCTGGTACTTTTGGATTCTGCTGTGGAGTTGCTGGTGTTGTTATTGGTATGAACCAGACTTGGTATTCGGGTGTAATAGCTAGACAAATTGGCGAGTATGGTGGAGACATTGCTTTTGAGCTAGGCTTTGCTTTTGCATTTATTGGTTTTAATACAACAAGATACTTTGAGAAAAAGTATTTACGATAGAACGTAATATTGGTAGAGAAAAATAGAATCGGGATTTAAGATAGAGATTGGTATAGTTTTGATCTAGTAGGTCAATTTTTACGTCGATGTTTGGCTAAGTTGGAGCTGATGCTTTCTTTCTTTCACCTCTTTCTCTCACCTCTTTCTCTCACCTCTTTCTCTCACCTCTTTCTCTCTTTCTCTCACCTCTTTCTCTCTTCCTATCAACTCTTTCTCTCTTTCTCTCACCTCTCGCCTCTTCCTCTCTTTTCTTCTTCCTCTCTGTTTTCTACTTTGAACCATAATTCCTCCGCTTTTTTTCCTCCCCCCTAAATCAGGCTACTTGTAAAAATTGATATATTCGCAAATCTCTTGTAACTGAAAGACGAAAAATCAAAGTTTTTGATATCGTGAAGAACAAAGTTTTCTCTAATAGGGATCGTTAAACCAAAAATAAAGAGGAGTGAAATTCGGATAACTTTCTCATCAACCGCAAAAACATCTGAAAGAATGTCTACCAAAACACAATCAAAAATTCAAAAATCAACACCGCATGGGCAATCCAAGCAGCATCTGCATCTGCAGCTGCAGCTGCAGCTGCAACAACAACGACAATCGCTATCTTCCTGTCAAAAGAAAGGCCATGGTCCAACTAATTCTAAGATAAAGGAATACGAGTCACTCAAGCAAAAGAATAATATACTCATGAATAAAATATATTTACATTTATTTGAATTCATATCGTCGCCGCAATTTGAACGGTGTTTCCCAGTATTGGAATTTCAATCTGCTATATTGTTGAGTTGTATTGATTTGATAAAATTGGGGAAACTAGGGTTGCTGACAGAGACAGAAGTAAAGACAAATTCAGAGGTGACAAGTAATAGAAGTGGTAGGAAGAGGTTTGACCTAAATGACTGCGACAGGGGGGAGAGAGATATCATGCGTATATTGATTAGAGCAAATGACTGGATGAATAAATGGGAATCGGTGGGCAAGGCTAATTGTTGCTGATGGGAAAGGAAGTGATATTTAAAGACGTACACACGGTAGATGTACACACACACACACACACACATGCATACACACGCATACAGCTAACGCCCAATTTTTTATTTGAACCTGATTTTCCCTTATCCTCTTTGCTGCCTCCCTCCCCCATATGAGCGGGCATTCTTTAATAATCGTACACCAATAATAGATCTTATGACAGGTTTGTAAGATAATATATAAACCTTAATATATTAAAGCTTTATACGTTTGCAATTTTCCTTCAAGCTCAAAATATGCCAATGTTTCCAATACCTTTTCTCTCAAGTGTTTTGGAATTTGCTGGTGATTTTCAGCAATAAACTCATCCAAGAATGGCAATATCCACATTACCCTTCCCATATCATTAGATTTTTCAGCAGCATCCAACATCACCATGAATAAATCACAATCAAATATTTTACCTTTAACTAAACTATTCTCAGTATAGCTCAATAAGATATTCTCCTGATCTTTTGAATGGAGCACAATTTTGTCAAATAGTAGATCCAAGTATTCGAATAATCCAATACTGATTGTTAATTTCATGATTCGATATATACAGGACCGTGTGATTGTTAGATTTGTAATGTCAAAATCATAACCAGGTATTATTTTAGGCAATTTGTACTTTGATCGAGATAACAAAGGTGATTTAATCGTTAATACTTCACGAGCAACTTCATCTAATTTCAAAAAGGAAAGTAATTCGACAAACATTTCCTTGTCATTGCGTGGAACTTGGTATGCTAACAAAGAACTCAAGATCTCTGGATCTTGTTGGATCAAATGAAGAAAATGGTCTGGAATTAAAGGCGCTATTATTGTTTTCAAGGGCTCGGATGGTGTGGCTAGTACGGAAGGTTGGTGCTTGTACTGTAGTAATGATAGATATACGATTTGCTGATAATTTGTGAGGTTGTTTTCACATAGTTTATCTAGTAGGAAAGACCATGTTTTAATGGTGGGTATATATGAGTGCCTCGACAAGAATATTTGAACGATTTGATAAGCAAGATTGATATGAGCAAGTTTCTCAGTCGTGTTGGAGTTGTGGTGGTGGTGGTGGTGGTGGTACTCTTTGAAGGCCTTGTCTAGTTTTTCCAAAATCTCAGTATCATCATAATAAGGCAGGAGGAAAACAATTGGTATAATTGATTTTGTTTGAGAGCAGGCATCTGAATCCCAATAATTGAGATACTGAGAAGACTTGCAATGATAAAAATTTGCTCTAAATCGTTGTAATGAAAAAAATGCATCGCTTGTCTTGAAATCTTCTATAAACTTTGCAATCTCATGCCCCTTTTCCGCGTCTTCAAGTTGGATGTTTCTCAATTTCAACTCAATCAAAACAGTTTCAATTAACATGGTGCTGATCAACATCATGATATTTCTAATTTCCACGTCATTATAGATAAGCCCCCGTTGGTTACTTTCTAGTTTGGAACACATTTCATCATACGTTTGGACATTACACCGGCTACTACTATCATTCACAAACATAGAATCAACATTATCCTGGTTCGATATAATTCCAAGTACATTGCTTCGATGTTGTTTATACTGTTTGGCTAAATCAATACCAGTTTCAAATTCCTTTACCCTCCGCTTATTTCTCTTTAAAGCATTCTTGTACACCTTTTCAAAATCGGTATTTCCGGCATTTGTTAGCTGGGAATATCTACATACCTTATATCTACTTACTAATTCTTGGTTTCGTATCCTAAAAGGCTTTCTGATTAGAGGTTTTGAAAACATTGGCGAGTAGTAGATCATTCGCAGGCAAAAAAAAAAAAAAAGGAACAACAGCAGCAGAAAAAAAAAATATACTAATACAGTTTGTATACCGAAAAAAGGACACTGGAAATGGACTTGGTAACCTTAACTCTCAGCTGTTCTCACTCAAAAAATGAACGATTTATAAATGAGGTGGTTTTATCTTTTGCAACTTTTGACATTTCAACACTAACAATTTTTTTTATTCTCTCCATAATGAAGCCATGGTAAAGGTGGTGATCATTGCAACACCTCTATACATGCTCATTTCCAACACCTCTATACATGCTCATTGCAACACCTCTATACATGCTCATTTCTCTCCCAAGTAATATCTCCTTTGTAAAATTAAATACATCCTTTAGATAAATATCCACTTAAGCTAGGCTATCTTACTTGTTCTCTAACCATCAACTGGGGCTAAGCTTGGTAAGGCACCCCCCCCCCCCCCCCCCCCCCCCCCCCCCCCCCCCCCCCCTCCGTCCCCGCGTCCCCGCGCCTCACCGCCCTCACAAGTCTCCTGCTGCAATATACCACGTGACCTTATTACTTGAAAATCAAATGTCTTTTTTCTTTATTCATTTTTTTTTTCTTCTTTTCAACTTGAACTAAACACGTCAAGGAGTACATTATAAGTATATATGAAGATCTTTACACTTTTGGCTGCAGCTGCAGCGTCAATTGCTACTGTTTCTGGATACAATGTCATTGATAGACAATATGTTGATATTTCTATCGAGTACAGTATTGTCCAAACCCCGGAAATCACTGAAAAGAATGTTGCTCAATGGGTTAATGGTGATGAAGTCACTTTGCAATATAAACTTGAGAACAATGAAAAATCCGTGGTTACTGTTATTGGTGTAGGTGGTATGTTTGCCAACCCGGTCACAAATGAGATTGTTACCAACTTGACTCGAGGTCAAATTGGTCCAATTACTGTTGCTCCTGGTACATCATCAGTTTTTGAACAGCGTATTGGAGTTGATTTAATTCCAGACAATTATCAGTTGGTTCCTCAAGTTTTTATAGCTCATGAGGACTTGATCAAGGTTGTTGCATGTCGTGGCCAGTTGGCTTCAGTTGCTGATAAGTCAATCTCATTTTTTGATCCTAGGTTGATCTTTTTGGAACTTGTGTTGATAGCTTCGCTTGCTGGTTTGGGATATTTGGTATACGACATTTGGGGTAAGAGATACTTTGCAGCAACGCAACCTGTTAAGGTGAAAAAGACCACTGATGCAACAAAAGTTACATCAACTGGATCAGGTTATGATGTAAACTGGGTTCCAGAATCACACTTGAAACAGAAAAAGACAAAAAAGGTGGCCTAGTTAGAATACAAAAAAGGTGGCCTAAAAAGATGGCCTAATAAGGTGGCCTAAAAAGATGGCCTAAAAAGGTGGCCTAGTGAAAGAAAGAGAAACACTTGAGAGTCATTGTAAAGGATTGACCCTATATATATAGTACTGACAGTATCAATTCCCATATTCATTCATATCAAGATTCAAATCTCTTACATCATTGAAATCTTTTTTCTTGCTTTTCTCATTAGCCGCAAATTTTTCTATCGCTATAATTGCAAAAGATTTAAACTTGAATAAAAGTATATCATAACCAATAAGTAAAATCAAATCTCTACAGAGTATATTCCAAACAGGCAAAATCTGGGTTACACGAATAGGCAGATAAGGCAAGCTAGAGTATTGGGATTCTGGAATACGAGTACAATTCCTCGCAAGGGTCTCCTTTTAGTCCCCTCTATGAATAGGAAATCACACAAGTCATTAAGATGAAACTATATTTCAATGAAAAACCGAGAACTTTCATAATTACAACAAATACTCATGCTCTCATTATAAGACATCCTAATCCTATATACAAACATAGAAGTATAAGAGGACTTATACCGCGGCACAATCGTCGAGAGAACGATAAAGAAAATAACAAAGTCTTGGTAGAGTTTGTCATTAAGGACTTTATCAACTTTGCCTCATTTCGAGATATAACGCCAAAAGTCGGCAAGTTGATTGGGTTTCTTGGTCTCCTTAGTTTGAAAAGTAAAGTGTTTTTAGGATTCATTACAAAAGACGAGATTGTTGCTTCGCCAACTGTTGATGAAAAGATTTATAAGATAACAGGAACTGAGTTTTATTGTTTGAACAATGATGAGTATGACTACTTGCTAGATAGGGAAGATGAATACTCGGGATATCTGGATACTGAAAGCACAAAATATCCCGCTGCCTCAATTAGAAAACTCTTATCAAGTGGCGCATTTTACTTTTCAAAACAATTTGACATTACATCCAATATCCAAGAAAGAGGATTCACAAAAGCAGAGTTTCAATTGATAGCTGACTCTCCCTATTTCAAAAGATTTTCGTGGAATAGCTTTATGTTAGGCGAGCTTCTTGAATTCAGAAACAGACTTAGTCCTCTGGAGCAGAAAATAATTGATACGTCTGGCTACTTGGTTATAATAATGCGTGGGTATGCAAAGTCGGTAAACACTGAAGTCGCAGGTAGTGAAGCTTTAATGACATTGATTTCAAAACAAAGTTGCGCAAAAGAAGGACCTTTGTTTGGAGATTGGGGTTGCGATGGAAATGGGTATGTTTCAAACTACCTTGAAACAGAAATCATCATTTATACTGGCAAGTTTTGTCTATCTTATGTCATTGTGCGAGGTAACGTGCCAATGTATTGGGAGTTGGAAAACAACTTTTCAACTAAAGCCATCCTAGCGCCCAGCGCCAAAAAGGTGAATTTTCCCCGATCTTTTGAGGCTTCACAGGAAGCATTTACCAGGCACATTGATCGATTAGCTACTCAATTCGGGGACGTCCATATCCTTAATGAACTATCCGACAAATCGTACAAAGGAGTCCTTAATGCCGCGTTTGAAGAACAAATAAAGTACTACTTTGAACATCGAGAGCAGGCAAATTCTGACTTTAAACTAGCATACACGCATCTCCCAATACCGGCATCTCGTGTAAAGAAGATTGGATATACTTCTCAAAACCCTTCTGACATTATCGTTACATTTTCAGACTCGGCGGTAAATTTTGGAGCACTATTTTATGAAAACTCAACAATGACTTTTATCGGGAAGCAACTTGGTGTTTTTCGAATAAACTCATTTGATAGTTTAAGCAAAGCCAATTTCTTGTCCAAAATAATAAGTCAAGAAGTTATCAAACTAGCATTTCAAGATATAGATATAGAATTAAACAAGGATTTATACACAAAGCATGCAAGACTTTGGCAAGAAAATGACGAGCAAATAACAAAGTTGGTGCTAAATTATGTTTCCAATAGGGACAAATTGCATACCAGTAACGTGTCACACGCATCATCGGTAAAGTCACATATTACTAAGAAATACTTGAGTAGTGTTGTAGATACAAACAAGCCGAATGAATTGGCACTTTTGAAATTGTTGGGAAGATTGCAAGATCAACAAGCAATTACTTTGCATAATCCCCTTCACGACTTTGTCGCAAAGGAGCTTAGCGAGCGAGAGGGGGAGTTTACATCTGAGCTGGATATTTTGCTTTTTGCTTCAACTTTCAATGTGAATGGAACCATTTTCGAAGGAGACATTGATGAGTGGATCTTTTCCGAAAACAAATTGCACGACTTGGTATTTATCGGACTACAGGAGATTGTCAAACTCAAACCTGGTCAAATGGTGAATACAGACTATAGGAATAAAGCTCAATGGGAAAGAAACATACTTGAATGTTTGTTGAAGCGTGATAAGTATATGACATTGTGGACTGGTCAATTGGGGGGACTTGTTTTACTTTTATTTGTTAAAGAATCTGAGGTCAAATATGTTTCCAATGTGGAATTTTCATTCAAGAAAACTGGTCTTGGTGGCGTTGCGGCAAATAAAGGCGGCGTTGCTGTGAGCTTCAAGTTCTCGGATACTAGTATTTGTTTTGTATCTTCTCACTTTGCCGCGGGACTCAATAATGATGAAGAAAGACATCACAACTACAAAACACTAGTTAAGGGTATTCAATTTTCGAAAAACAGGAGGATACCAGATCATGATGTTGTTATTTGGGTTGGTGATTTCAATTATAGAATTAATTTAACAAACGAGCAAGTCAAGCCGTTGATATTGCAAAAAAAATATACAAAGCTACTCCAATATGATCAATTGAACCAGCAAATGGCCAGCGGGGAATCTTTTCCCTTTTACGCAGAACAAAAGATTCATTTCCCACCAACTTATAAATTTGATAATGGTACAAAAGTCTACGACTCGAGCGAGAAGCAAAGAGTTCCTGCTTGGACCGATCGTATATTATATCTATCAAGAAAGAATCTAATCAAACCAATTGAATACAACTATGCTCGAAATATTACATTTTCGGACCACCGTCCGGTTTATGCACTGTTTCAAGTCACAGTAAAGATTATAAATCAAGCAATTAAAAAGAGTATCTCCAGTAAACTATACGAAACCTATAAATTGAAGCATCACGGATTGCAAGATATAGCTTCTTTGTCATATGATGTCGACAAACGACTCATTGACTATGAGAATAGGAATTTGCCGCCGCCAAGTTCAGATAAGGACAAATGGTGGTTAGAAGGTGGCAAACCCGCAAAAGTGACAATTCCAAGTCTAGATAACAAAAACAATGACCTAGTTGTTAACCCATGGAGTCCAATTAATCCATTCACTAGATCTAACGAACCAGAATTTGTGTCATTGAAAGAATTAGAAGAAATGTTAAATTAATAGAAATAGCCTTGTCATTCTAGCTTCTCACTTTCTCATCTTTCTTTTCACTTGGTATCCTTTACATTTGGTTCACTGTCAGAAAGACTCCGCATACATTCGATGGCGTCTAATTGTTGGGCCTCGTGTAAAATAGAATCCAATTTCGCTTCAAAATCACCCAACATGTTTTCCAAGTTTTTGGCTTGATTTTCTGCCTGTGTTATTTGTTTATGTGTGTTGGCTATATCTTTTGCTGTCTCCTTTGTCATTTTTTTTTAAGCTTTGCTTCCAAGTGGTTGTTATATTATACCAATGATGGGAATAGATATCGAGTATATATACTTTTTTCTAATAGTATTATAATTAGTCTTTATATAAATAAATTGGTATATAGTAATAGTAGAAATATTGACTTCTAGGACACGACTAATAAAACAAACAATACGATGAATGAATTAATGAATGCAATGAAACTATTAGACACTAACGAGCAGAGCGAGATAGTGGAGCACATTAGCTGCCACCAACACTATCGAGCAGAGCGAGATAGTGGAGCAAATTAGCTGCCACCAACACTATCGAGCAGAGCGAGATAGTGGAGCACATTTGCTGCCACTCACTTTGGAGAGGTTGTGTAGAAAAGTATTCATTACTTTGGAGAGGTTGTGGAGTATTGATTACTTTTTGAGTTTTGGCTTTTTTGGGAGAAATTTAGTCAAGGTTACTTTTCTAAACTTTTTTGTAAGCTCACTTTGGAGAAAAGATACATACCAACAATATTTATTGAAAATATGTTATTTAGTAAACGTATATATGCAGTATTTGTAGTCTCAAACAGATAGTGTCGGTGTAGTCAGTGTTGCTCCCACCATCTCGCTCTGCTCGATAGTGTCGTTTGCTACTCACATGATTGTTTAAGAAAACAAAAAAGACTTGCAGTAGGACGATATCTGTGGGTTAAAGTTGAGTAAACTACAACAATAATAAAAAAGTTAAAAAGTAGAGAGTAATTGTAGAAATGGTATATATTGGTCACACGTAGGAGCATGTTCAGTCACCAGCATTGGTTCGAAGACGATGTTTCAAGAATAGAGCTTGTTATTTTTCTCAATTGTTGATTCAGAATTAGGGACTAATACGTAATAAAAAGATATGATACCAACGATATATGTGCCACTCAACATCTAAATTTGATTTTCTATTCTGCAGTATAAGTTTTACCTTTATATTTTTTTTTTTTTTTTTTTTTGATTCACTTTTTCTACAAAAGTGTTTGAGATTTTAAAAATGAATAAAAGGGACACACACAGTTTCTCTATAGCTTTTCATCTAGGGTTAAAAGAGAGCTAGAACTGGGTTGTAATGGTAGTAGTAAACCCTCTATTCTGGTAGTAAATAGTTTTGGGCGCAAAAATAACGCTTTCATAGTGTAATGCTATGTTTTTGTTGAAGGTCTCATCATGAAGGTAAAAGGTTTGAAAAATGTATACAATTTTTTGTACCTTGACACAAAACAGCAAAAAAGAAATTTTTTTAAAAAAGCCTTCATTTGGGGTTTGTTTAATCAAAGACTGAAACTTCCTACTAATTTGAGAGAACTAATAAGGTAAATGCATCTTGACTGAATCTTGATAAAGAATGGTTCAAATGCAAAGGTTAAAGTTAATCATGTTGAATACTTTTTTTGAACTATTTTCGAATTTTGCAGCTATTTTGCCTGATTGAGAATATACAATGATGACAAGTATGAAATCTGAAAATTCACATCAATTAGTTTGCAACAGTATAAAACTTATAAATAAGTGTAACAATTATCATATTTACAGGTTGCTGCAAAAAGGTTGTACTATAGTACCCAACCAATTACCTTTTTAACAAAAATCTAGCGTTTAAGGAAATCACAGTTTATCATGAAACTTTTCGGGTACGTTTTTACTGCTTGTATGCTTGCTTTTGCATCAGCTGCTAGAACAGTTACACAAGTTGTTGCTGAAACTACTGTAGAGGATGTGACAACTACTAGCACAACCACTTTCTGTCCTGAAAGTGACTCGTCATCGATATTGGATACTTCTATTTCACTTGGCTCGTCATCAGGTAAGAAAACAAGTACGCAGGTTCTCTTTGAAACTACAGTGACAGATATGACAACTACTAGCACAACCACATTCTGTCCTGAGAGTGACTCATCAACATCATTGGAGACTACGAAAAGCACATTCTCAAGTTCATCTGTGCTTGTCACCCCATCCAGCTCATCTGTGCCTGTAACCCCATCCAGTTCATCTGTGCCTGTAACCCCATCCAGTTCATCTGTGCCTGTAACCCCATCCAGCTCATCTGTGATTGTCACTCCATCCAGTTCATTTGTGCCTGTAACCCCATCCAGTTCATCTGTACTTGTCACCCCATCCAGTTCATCTGTGCCTGTAACCCCATCCAGTTCATCTGTACTTGTCACCCCATCCAGTTCATCTGTGCCTGTAACCCCATCCAGTTCATCTGTACTTGTCACCCCATCCAGCTCATCAAGCATCGAAAGTATCTACTCATATAGTGTTGGCGGTGGGAATCCCACTTCTACAACTTCAATTCTTCCAACATCTATTACTCCTAGCTTTGCATCAACGGAAAGTTCCTTTCAAATTTCCTCAACAATAACATCATCCATTTCATCGGTTGATAGTAGCGAATTAACTTCTTCATACACTTCTTCAGATTCCACAAGCGAACCATTGTCTATTGTTACCGAGATTCGATCCACTTTGCTTACCCTCACTACTTGTTTTTTGGAGACATGTTCAGAATTCACACAAATCACTGGAGTTACAACCGTTACCGATGAATATACTATCTACACTACATATTGCCCGTTATCTACACCAAAAGCATCATCGTCTGTAATCACAACTGTACCTACAACTGATACCAACGTCACTCCTGCTGCTTCTACTACTACCACTGTTGCTGCCGTCTCAACCTATCCTTCATCCGTCGTTTTGGATACTTCAACATCGGGTACTAGCACTAGTCACGCTACGCCCGATGCTCCCGAGTCTTCAAGTACTGATACAACTGCCCTTCTTCCTGAAACTTGTTCAGATGATCTATCCTGCAAATCAAGTTTGACTACAGGACTTGCGACTTCCACTCACAATTCAGGCATTTACACCACCACAACAGAAAACGCTAGTACTATTAGTAGTTATGTGTCTAAAACTTCTGTTACTTTGGATAAATCATCCACCAGAATTGAAAGTACACAAGCTTCTTTACAAATTACTTCAGCTGAAACTACACTGGAAGGAACCAGCTCGATTGTAACTACATCTGAAGAGACTAGCCCTGCTGCAAATACACTGGAAGGAACCAGCTCGGTTGTAACTACACCTGAAGAGACTAGCCCTGCTGCAAATACTTCTTCTGCAACTACACTGGAAGGAACCAGCTCGATTGTAACTACATCTGAAGAGACTAGCCCTGCTGCAAATACACTGGAAGGAACCAGCTCGGTTGTAACTACACCTGAAGAGACTAGCCCTGCTGCAAATAGTCCTTCTGCAACTACACTGGAAGGAACCAGCTCGGTTGTAACTACACCTGAAGAGACTAGCCCTGCTGCAAATACTTCTTCTGCAACTACACTGGAAGGAACCAGCTCGGTTGTAACTACATCTGAAGAGACTAGCCCTGCTGCAAATACTTCTTCTGCAACTACATTAGAGGAGAAAAGCACCGCTCCTGAAACCTCATTATCACAAGATGACAGCACTACTACTAGCTCCATAGTTAAGAGTATTACAGTAACGATATCTACTTCAGAGGTTTCTACTTCTCCAGCAATTGAAACAAACTTTGTATCAGCATCAGCAGTACCCGAAATGAATAGCGATACAACAACAAAGGAGAATACTTCAATCTCGTCTCCAATACAAACAACTGTCGCTACCCAAATTACTTCAGGTTATACGGTCGCTACTCAAGGTCAAACAACAAGTTCAGAGACCCAAGAATCATTTTCTTCAATTTCTGAATACAAAGGTTCTGCTTATAGACACCTACCAAAGAAGGCAATAGCATTGATGCTACTAGCATCTTTCATTTAAAGCTAATTTCTCCCTACTAAACACTAAAAAAAAAGTACAATAAGTAATCAAAAAAAAGGCTTACATCTTACTAGTAAAAGACTTACATCTTAATAGTAAAAGACTTACATCTTACTAGTAAAAGACTTACATCGTAATAGTAGTGATGACTTACTTCTTACTAGTAGTAGCAGACTAAATGTTCAAATCTTCAAATCTTATAGTTAGTAACAACGTTTTCTATTTTCTATTGTTTTCGATGTTCAAAAAATTTTTATCATGTAAGTGTTAGTTTATTTCAAATTACGCCCAAAAAAACACATTGGTAAAAATGGCTGTAATCATGACAATAACGCATGTAATAATTCTAATCATATAAAAATCTATCTGATTCATCAAAGTTAATTTGAAAAACATACTAATTCAATTCACCAGATAGTGAAAAAGAACCCTAGGTAAAAAGAATTATTTTTTTTCTCTCAACGATGCCAGTTAAGTGGTTTAGTTACTTTTCGTGTAGTAAGTGTCAAAAAGTGAACACCAGTGGAAAAAATAAAACCAAATAAGATAGTGGAGGAGCATGGACTAGTAATGACTGCTTTTCTTGAAAAAATCCTCAAATATAAGTCAAGTGAAGTCAAGTTTGTAAGTTCAGAGAAGGACTCACATAGGTTACTCCATTTTAGAGAAGGACTCATATAGATTACTCCATTTTAGAGATAACTTATTAAAACATACTGAAATTGATAAATTCATTTTAAATAAAGTAGAAAAAAAAAAAGTCTGCTTGGTTCGTTTGTTTGTTCTTCCTGCAGAACGTTGTGAACTTTGTAATAGATTTAATTTGCATAGGGGAACTGAGCAATTAGAGAAAAAAAACTTTTTTTTTTCATGTAGAGGTTCCCTCTCATATCGTCAGGTAACTTGAGAAAGTACGAGAAAACTCTTATAGTATGTGATGCCAAAAAGATGAGGTTCCTACTCTACCAAATCTCGTTGTTGTTTTTTTTTTTCTTTTAGTAATACTCAGGTCATGAATGGGCCCCTTCATTCACAATGGTTAAAGATTTTTCCTTTTTCTTTTCTGTTTTTTTTACTTTTTCTTTTTTTTTTTTTTTTAGCCCCCACCATGACGCATGAGAAAGTCAGACTATATTACTCATTGAAAAATTTAAAATGAATCATACTTTTCTAAACAGTTTTTTGTCTTTTTACCAAAATAAAGCATTGCACAACGCTGATATAGAGTAGGGAGGTTGTAAAAAAAAAAAGCTATTTCTATTTCATTCCAATTCAGAGCCACAGATGCCTATGCTTAGAGACCCCTCTGTGAAATACAGAAAGTTCCCGCAAGTGGACTTGCCCAATCGTAAGTGGCCCTCGAGAACCTTGGATAAACCGCCACGTTGGTTATCAACCGATTTGAGGGATGGGAACCAGTCCTTACCAGATCCCATGTCTATTTCGGAAAAGAGGGAATATTTCAGCAAGTTGGTAAGTATAGGATTTAAGGAGATTGAAGTTGCGTTTCCGCTGGCATCACAGATTGACTTTGATTTCACTAGATTTGCGGTGGAGACCGCGCCAGCAGATGTCTCAATCCAGGTTTTGTCGCCTTGTCGTGAGGAACTAATCAAGAGAACAGTAGAGTCATTAAAGGGAGCCAAAAGAGCAACTGTCCATATATACTTGGCCACTTCAGATTGCTTTAGAAACATTGTATTTGGGTTAAGCAAAGAAGAAAGCAAAGCCTTGGCTGTAAAATGCACCAAGTTGGTTAGGCAATTAACTAAAGACGATCCTTCAACCGCTGGAACAGATTGGGATTTTGAATTTTCACCAGAAACATTTTCAGATACTAATATGAACTATGCTCTTGAAGTTTGCGAAGCAGTGAAACAAGCTTGGGAGCCAAGCAAAGAAAAACCAATAATTTTTAACTTACCTGCAACTGTTGAAATGTCAACACCTAATGTCTATGCTGATCAGATAGAATACTTTGCGACTCATATTAGTGATCGTGACCATGTTTGTATCTCACTTCACCCGCACAATGACAGAGGCTGCAGTGTTGCCGCAGCAGAGCTCGGTCAATTAGCAGGAGCCGACCGTGTGGAAGGTTGTCTTTTTGGAAATGGTGAACGTACCGGTAACGTTGATTTGGTGACATTGGCCTTGAACTTGTACACACAGGGTGTGTACCCAAACCTAGAATTTTCTGATATAACCTCTGTGATAGATGTTGTTGAGAAATGTAATAAAATACCTGTTCATGCAAGAGCACCATACGGTGGATCACTTGTGGTTTGTGCATTTAGTGGATCCCATCAAGATGCAATCAAGAAAGGCTTCACCGATTACGAGAATAAAAAGAAAGCTGCAGGTGGCAAGAATGTTCACTGGCAATTACCTTATTTACCTTTGGATCCACAAGATATAGGACGTACTTACGAGGCTATAATCCGTGTCAATTCGCAATCAGGAAAAGGTGGTTCTGCTTGGGTCATTTTACGTAATTTAGAATTAGATTTACCAAGAGGTTTGCAAATAGCTTTCTCAAAAATTGTCCAAGAACGTGCCGAAATTAAAGGTCAAGAGTTGACAAATCAAGAGTTGTGCTCTTTGTTTAAACAGGAGTATTTTATTGACTACGAGGAGGAAGATGGCAACAACAACAACAACGAGACACCTGATCAATACTTTAAATTGCTTGATTATTCATTATCGACACCAAATAAAGGGACAAAGGAGATTGATGCTGAACTTGAAATAAATGGCCAATCTGTAAAGATCAAGGGACAAGGAAATGGTCAATTATCGGCATTTAATGATGCTTTGGCCAAATACTTGAAGATTAATATTGACGTTAAACATTACCATGAGCATTCTTTGGGTGAAGACTCAAACGCTAGAGCAGCCACTTACATTGAGGTCTTGGTCAATAACAAGATTACAAGATGGGGTGTTGGTATCAATACGGATGTTTCGCAAGCATCTTTCCTTTCATTGATATCAGTACTCAACGGTCTAAAAAGAGATCAAGATATTTAAAGTTCATGAAAAACAAACATCTTTTTATATAGTACAATTATATTATTATCACATTTTTACATTTTTTTCTCTACTCAGAACTAAAACAAAAGAAGAAAAATTGAAACAAGTTTATGATATACATGAGTGAGAGAGAGAGAGAGAGAGAGAAGAGGGGGAGAGAGACTGCTAACGAAACTAGCACATATTTGTTGAGACAATGCAGTTTTGGGTACCTCTTGTTGGAGACAAATGAGTTCAGGTTTTGAGTCTTGTGTAGTGTTATTTCCGTTCAGGCCGTGACTCAAACAGTATACATGTCAAATTGTCTGTTTTGTAAGTTGCAACCAGGTATTGTACTTTATTTATTTTAAGTTGCAACATTTTGCACCCAAAAAAAAAAAAAAAAAAAAAAAAAAAACGAATTGGAATAAAACACATTGTGCATTATGTTCCAAAGATAGACAGAATTAGAACAGCCAAGGAAAAAGACTAAATTAATAGAAGCAATAAAGAGACAAAAAAAAAATATATCATAGCCTATAGGTATTAGAATCTGCTGTTACGGTTGCCAAACTTCTACCTTATAAGACTTTATGGCACGTATAATGTTTGATCTAGTAGCTCTAGTAGGAGTTCATAACTAGTACCTGTAAGGGAATGATCGATTTGTATTATTGTGGTGGTCAACAAGCTTCAATCTGTAGGAGGAAGAAGAAGAAAAAAAAAAAAAAAAAAAAGAGAGAGAGAGTTTCCAGAAAGTGATGATCTCATACATGCAACAACAATATACATATCTATGTACAAATAATCTTCGATTAAAGTTGCAGTTTTTGATCACTTTCTTCGTGGTGTGAACGTTGCCCAAAAATAAAAATTAAAAATAGCAACTTTTGTTGATAAGTATGATACAAGTGGGTCGTGAAAACTAGTATGGGGTAGGAAGAGAATCAAATTATGAAAGGTACATGCTCTGGGTGCATTTGAATAGCCAAATTCGGCGAGTTTCTTCTTTCTTCGTTTACTCACAACAAAGAAACTAAATTATACCTAACCAAGAAAATTGAAAAATAGAAGCTCTCATTGGAAAAAATTTGGCACCGCACCAGAAAGTTCTGTTTTTTTTTTTTTTTTTTGTTGCTCACCCGTGAGCTTTTAGTTTTAGCCAGCATATTTTCACTAGAATATCCACTGGACTTATGTTGCATAAAAATCCACAGGTCTTTTCCGAGGTAACTTGTTAAGAGCACTGGTAATTTATTGTTTGATTTTTATAGCTTTTTGTTTTTATTCTTCTCAAACCAACGTTATAACATTGCGCTTTTCGTTTGGTTGACCTCGCCACTGGCTTTTGGAAAGTAGCCATAAAAGAGGCAAACAGTGGTTATAAAAACATATTAAAATTACGCTCCTTCTCTTTTCCTCTTTCTTTTCGAAAATATTCTGGTTGAAGGTTGAGTCTACTGATCTCTATTCTTTTTGTTCTTTTTTTTTTTTACTCTTTGCTTTGAAAAATGGGGTGGTCATTGAATGTTTTGACATGACAAGTTTCATAACCAAAAATAAAAAGATCAAAAGAGGGTGCGTCTACGAAGAGATGCAGTTTACTGGTTAATGTATATGTACAAGAATAGTTAGTCTAAAGAGCAAGCTCACCTACTTGCTAAGCTCAAGCCACGCACCCAGGTCCCATAAAAGGGGTAGTGTTGGTAGTTGGTAGCTATTTGTGATTTACACTACACTATCTCGCTCTGGTCAACAGTGTTGTCAAAGTTTATTTTTAGAGTGCTAATTTTTAGAAAATGATTTGTTTGATTTGGTGGGAATTGAGCTAAAAGCGCAGAACAATTAGTAATGTTGTGGAGGTAGTAGGTGGTAGTAATAGGTGATACCACTAAGGTGTATCCGATCCAGCAATATGCTTGGCTTTGGCCGTATACTGGTTTACAAGCCACCTTTACTTGTAATTAACATTCCTTTTTTAATCATCAGCAAAACAATCAATGCGAAACTGGCCTACAAATGCTTCTTTTTTTTTTTTTTTGTAAATTTGTAATTACAAAGCGCAACATCGTACAACTAGAATGAATTCACTCATCCGCTTTGCAGAGGTATTTGCTCGCTCAAGGCGCACAAAACCACCTTATTTTGTTATATAACTGATATCTTTTCATGTCAGGAAACTTTTAGAATCTTTGCCTACTTTAATTACAAACCACTCACCTCTTTGAAGATATTGAAAGTTTGTAAAGTCCAAAGTCGGACCAAATTAGATCAGACCCACCGCGTAAAAGTAAACACTTTAAAAATTCAACTCTCAAAGGACGCTGAAGCGGAAAAAAGAAAACTATTTTTCTCTCCTGCGCGCATACGCCCCACTTTTCTTCCTTATTGTACGGTTTGAATTAGCTTTATAGTCGACTTCCAGCGCTATAACATGTTCCTTGCTAAATAAAATTCACTCAAATAACCTCAGCTACCCCCTTTCTCTGCTTTTCTTTTCTTAAGTTCCTTTGTTATAACGGTGTTTTCTCTTTAAAATAATTGGCATTTTGTATTCTGACTGTTAGTATTTCCTTGGCATTTGTTTTCACTGTACGAAAATTTGGTGAAAATTGGCGAGGTTTTGATGATGCTTATCTTTCTTCAATAGAGTCACTTACAATTGCTCTTGCTCTTTTTTGGCTGGCGCTTTCAATATTGGGGAAAGTATTGTATACCATTGTTCCTACTTGAATCTTGCCTTGCTTGTACAAGAAAGAGGAGAGTTGATGGCTTCCTTATTGTTTTGTACCTAAAAATATGTCAATTCACTGGAAAAAGATCTTTACAATCAAAACAAACAAGGCGCACTTAATTCCCGAGTTCCTTGTTTATTTTATTAATACAACCCATTACTAAGAATAGAAGTAAAAGTCTAAAGTATAGTAAAAAGAGTTTGTCTAAAGTATGGTTGGAACTGAATTTCTTTTCTAAACACCGTATGCTAGGTAGTAGTTAGATCTCTATAGTCAAAAACTACATTTTTGTATTCTTTATCAAACCCGCGCGCCACGTGTGTGTTTGAAAAATGACTATAAGCTCACCTTTTTCCACCATTGGCACAACATAAACAAGGCGATCTTTCACGGCAACTTCATATACTCCACAACAAAGGGGGGAAGGGGGGAAAAGGGGGAAACACGGGATTACTCGTTTGATTTTTCCCTCAGAATAGTCTACTTCTCGTCATTTCATATGTTGCAACTACAGGACGGTGATCTGAATAATGGAATCCGTTAAAATAATTACTCAAGATACCAAATTGTTTCAACACAACTTTGTAATATAGATGATGGTCAAGGTCATAGAAATTGTTCATTTCTTTATCCTCTCCATGCTTTCTTTCTCTCAGTACTGACTCGGTAAAATATGGCGACCAGATATAGTCAATAATTGAATTAGGTTCATTCTTCAAATCAAATCCTGTAAAAGTAGTTTTGTGCCCATATGAGAATTTCTTATCAATGGTCACTCTACTATCTTTGAATCCTGATTTGGTTAATATTTTATATGGCTCATCATCAGGTTCTGTATTGAAATCACCGCATAAAAATGAAGGATATCCATTATAGTTTTTCATCTTGTCCACTATCAATTGAGAAGATTTCTTTCTCGCTAACCGGCCCCTGTGGTCAAAGTGCGTATTAAACACATTAAATTTAATCAATGGGTTAATTTTACTTTGAAAAGTAACCATTGTAACTATTCTTTCTAAAGCTGCATCCCATCCTCTACTTGGAACATCGGGTGTTTCACTTAACCAAAAAGTAGTGTTTTCTAAAATGAAAAAATCTCGGGACTTGTAGAGTATAGGTGCAAATTCACCTTCAGAAACACCATCTGTTCTGCCAACTCCATAATATGTCCACTCATTCTTAAAACTGCCGCCATCTCCTCTAACTCCTTCTTCCTCATTTAGCCCTCTAATAATATCGTATAGTTGATTCTGTAACACTTCTTGTAAACAAATCACACTTGCATAACCTATACCTGTATTGAACTCCATAGAGTTGATACTCTGCACTCTACGTTTCAGCCATGGCTGCTCATAGTTATCTGGGTACTTGAAATTATCAAATCTAATATTGTTTGTATACAACCGTAACGATAATGAAGGACCCAAAAGTGCAAGTGCATTACGACTACGGGTCACATGAAACTTGTAACTAACTAATAGGATTAGAATAATCGGGAGAATAAGTAATCTAATCTTTTTGAAAAATAATATTCTTTGCTTACCATGAGCAATGTAATAAGTATCCTGTGGAATTGGGCGGGCAACTAGATTTATTGGTGTGGTCTCATCAACCATGTTGGAAAAAGAAAAAAGAACAAAGAACAAAGAACAAAGAAGCTAGGGGCCAGCCACCAACTTGAGAAAAATCTATTCGTTGAATGAAGAAACGGACAAGATTGGTTGGAAGGAGGCGGGGAAAGCGGCTATTATTTAACTAGTAAACGGGAGGAGAAAAAAAATAAACAAGAAAGGGAATATCAAAATAACCAATCTTTTATGGGGGGGAAGGAATCGTACATTATTTTGGGGGAAGAGAATCATTCCTTTTTTTGGAGGGAAAGGAATCGTACTTTATTTTGCGGCAAAAGGAGGCTAAAGGGAAATGAGGAGCTACTGGTGTGGATAAAGTGGGTCAAATTTTTTTTTTTTTTTTAATTGTTTTTACCTGATACTGAGTGACATTGAACAAGTAGAGTAACTCTTTGTTTCGAAAAAAAGAAAACGAATCTGTGCTGTATCTTCCGTTACCTTTCACTTTGGTACCCCAGATTCTAAAAAGTTTTGGTGAGAATTGCTGCAAAAAAACAAAACAAAACAAAACAAAACAAAACAAGGCAAAACAAAACAAAATAAAACTAGAAATTACAATACTGAAAAAGGAAACCTAATGATGTGCAGCACACATATGCAATTTGTCTCTTAAATCTCTTATATGGTAATACCAGCTTTCTTGACAACCTCCTCTTCAGCATTTTCTTCACTAAATTGGAAAGGTCTTCGCTGTTTGACGTCCTATTCCTCACTTTGCTCGTTTCCTTCGTTGTAACTCTCATACATCTTGACAACTATATCATCACCATCGTCAGAGTGTGGATGACTTCTATTCTCCATAACATTGTCTTCCTCATCCAACAGATCCCCATCGGATCCATTGCTCTGTAATAAGAAAAGAAGAACACTTCCAATACCGCATAGAAATGTGAATGCAACAATTAGGCAAATTGCATACACCAGCGCTTTAAAGGGATGTCGCATAATTATCCTCACAGGATCAATGAAAAAGTCAAATACGAAATCTTTAAACTCCATGTATTCTTTCCACAAAAACCATTTTATAAACATGATAAATTGCCTTAAATTGCTTATTGAATCATCTCTTATGATATCATCAAAACTTGGTGGCGGTAAAATTGGTTCATTTAGCACCTTGGGAGTATTATTTAATTTATTGGCATATTCTAATGCAAATTTAGGCTTGAATGTTTGATTTCCAATTAGTTCCGCTTCACTTATCGAATTGCCCAAATAAATATTATCAAACATTGTTTCTCCATCCATTGTCCATAGTTCGAATCCGATTCCACCAATTGGTTTATCTAAACAATTAGTAACAAGTTTATCTTTTTCTGAGGAATTCGGTATGGCAATTTTTTTCTCAGGTGTCCATGGACCTTTGTAATTTGGATTCTTTACAAGTGGTGCAATCCAAGGACCTCTATAGTCAGGGTTGATTATCGTTGGTGGCACCCATAAACCGCAACCCGTGGTACCACATTTTGGATTCACGACTAGAGATGGCATCCAGTCGTCTCCGGCATCGTCTACTGGTTTCACTGCGGTTGGATCTGGTATATACCTAGGTTCAGATTCGTCCCATTCTTTGGGCTTGACTGCATTAGGGTCTGCGATTCGAGGGTGGGCGTGTTTTTGCTCATAATCATCAGGCATCTTTGCACTAGGATCAGAGATATATTCGCGAGTATCCCAATCTAGTGGTTTACCTTCACTTTCATCAACTAGTTCACCGGGCTCAAAGATTGGAGGATGAAACAAATGCTTTTCATCAAGAAAATTTCCCGTTTTTGCCGTCTTACCATTGATTCTTATTTCAAAATCCTGATTAGGATGTAGAATTAAAGTATACAAATTCGTCAACTCATTGAGCCTTGCCAATGGTGGCTCTTGTAAGACTTTTCTCTCAACACTTCCATTGAGTGATGATCTTGTTATTTCAAAATAAACTCGATTAACGCTACCACATTTATCGGGACCAAAAGCGATTTGAAAGGGAGTTTGGTCATTAAAGAATGAGTAGTCTGATTTCTCGTCTAGTAGTTTTATGTAGGCGCCTGTACAAGACCATTCAACTTGTGCTTTTACTTCGTATTGTATAACAAGTACCTTGCCGTTATCGTTATTGATAGTGTGAGGTAATTTACATGCAATTGCATGATACGAAGCTCGAGATTTCATAACTAACCCCAAATCGTTATCAAATCCAGGATATTTATAAGCTTTTTCAATTGACCATATACCATTATACTTCATTACCTCGTCTCTTCCTTGATCATATTTTTTCGAGTGCGACAGCTTCCATGGGGACTGCGAAATTGACAAATAATCAAACTGTTCGAAAAATGACTCATTTCCTAATTGAGATTGGTCAAATGGTTGATAAACGTTGCTTGAACACGTTACAGTACTTGCTACTAGAAAGAGTTTAATAACCGCCACCACCGCCACCTCAATTGCCTTCATTTTACAAGTTTATATTGCAATTGTATATATATATATATATATATGTATATTCCAAGTATGTAAATAAAATAATTATTCACTATTAAAACAAAGAGACGATGAGATTGTTCCACTAATGTCGCAAAAGTTCATTTTTTCCGTTTTTTTCAAGACATTCGTAAATTTGTCGACACATACCGAATTGGGATAAATTGTAATACGCCACAAGCTGAAAAAAGAAAAACAGAAAAAGCTAAAATTTGTAAAAGTTGGGGGGGAAAAAGTATGCATTAAATTAAAGACAATGACAAATAAGATCACCAGGGTCAGGACGGGGTGTTGGACTTGTAAGAAAAGGTACGTAGGAATAGGAGGATGTGGAAAGAAAGAGAATTTTGTTTTACTGACTTTTGCGGCTTTTTTCTAGACACAGAAAGTGTGATGAGACTAAACCTATTTGTAAAAATTGTTCAAATACAAATAGACATTGTGAGGGGTATGATTTGAGGGTCTCGTTTGATATATTCCAACATGGTGAAGGTAAGTCGTTCAAAAAGGGGAAAAATAAAATTTCTAAGGTGAAAAGTGGAACCAATAAACCTGAGACTCATCATCATCATCATCATCATCGTCTGCTGCTGCTGCTGCTGCTGCTGCCGCTGCTGCTCCTGCGTCAGTTGAGTGTGAGTCCGCTGCTTGCTATTGACGAGATATCTACTGAGCCAGTCACATCGAGCACCAATTTAAATCGGTTTAGTAGCGATTTATTCGAGGATTTGCAAACTTTATTATCAGCGAGTCTTGATCAAATGCCGCAATCCTCTAACAATTTCAATTTTGAAACAGGAGACATTCCTTTATCAACTCTGGATATCGATACTTTTAATTTTGATTCCCAAATCATTAATTTCATTGATAAGTCAAAGATCTTTGATGAAAACTATAAAGAACTATTAAATAGCCCCAAACCACTTGATGATGAAGAAAAATCCACTGCCGCGGCACCACCTGATTCTGCTTCATTGTTCTCCATGAGCCACCAAGAAGAAAATATGATGTTGAAGCATTTTTTCAAAAAATTGTTGCCTCTACTTGATGGCCATCCGAAATCGCCTTGGCCCGATTTGGCGTTAAAATATTGTGATTTTGATATTGCTAGAAGCTGTTTCATTTCATTGGCATGTATACACATGTATGAGAGTAGAACAGGAGGAAACGAATACTACCAAAAGGGACTTGCACATATCAACAACACTATGGATCATTTGATACGTTATATACGAGAAAATGCATACAAAATGAACTCGCAATCGCCTCATGCAACAACTTCAACAACAACAACAACAACAACAACAAAGGAAAGTGATGACATTAGTAAGAAACACATTAGTTATTTTGTCATAATGGTATTAATGAATGTGCATATCCTATTTGCTGTTGTCGAAAAGGGGAAAAGCTCAATGTCAAGGGATTTTTTCAAGGTGTTTGCTGAAATTTGCAAAGACAAGGTGTTTTTCAATGAGATGTTGATGCCCAATGTCAAACAGAGGTCTTTGCTTATTGTGTTGAGTTGGTATGATACTGTGAGTGCAATAGTATCACCCGATTGTCGAAAACCCTACTGTTTGCCCCTGTGGTACGGTACCGTGTCCGATGCTATATCTTCATCCAAAATGATGGGCTGTCCCGGTGAGATCTTTGTAGCAATGTCGGAAGTTTGTTGCTTGCGAAATAAAAAATATTACAAGGTATTAAATACGGAGGAGAAATTTCGATCTTACAACCGAATAAAATACGCATTGATGAACTACCGTGATTACGTCCCTATTAACGATGATGAGAGCAACGAAGATTACTCAAACAGAATGAAATGTGCACTATGTTGGGCTACAGCTGTATGGATTACTTTGAACAACGTGTGTGAGCCAGTCGACCATTTAGCCACCAATAGCAAACTAGTCAAGGAGTTTATTGACATTTATGGACAAATGGATTTTAAATCGGCCATCCTAGCACAAATGGTTTGGCCGGTTTATGCTGTTGGCTGTGAATGCAAAACCGAATTTGAAAGAAGTCATTTGATGAAATTTATTAATACCCTATACGAGAATACAAAAATGGGAACAATTTTTTCCTTAAAAGAGATTGTTTTGAAAGTTTGGGAAAAGAATATCACTCAAGAGGAATATCTAACTCAATGGTTGAGCAAAGGTGTTGACTACTTGCCTTTATGACCCATTATAACACTTTATATCAAAAAATATAAGACATCTTATTGCCCTTTTTACTGTCTCTCATCTCTCCATAGTAATAGAGCTCATCTCTCTCAGCCTTTGTTCTTAAATGTTTTTTTTTCTAATGAGCGTGCACTTACCAAATTCGATCTCTTCACGTTGTTCAATTCCAGCACAGAAAATTTTTCTTTTTTTTTTTTCAGTTTGAACATTACTTTCCTTATAATTCTTTGTGAAGTTCCCTCTTCGTCATAGCATATATATACGATATATTAACCTATCTCTAGGATGACCTACTCAGATTTTACAAAAGTAGAAACCGTCAAGTCATTGAACCAATTTTTGACTGACAAGTCATATATTGAAGGGTATGTTTTTAACTTTGTTTTAGCTCATCGATAATTAATGCCGTATCATATCGCTCTGCTCGATAGTGTTGGTAGCAGCTCGATTGCTCCACTAGCTTGCCCTGCTCGATAGTGTTGCAGTGGTTATTTTTATATGATGATCATAATCTTTGGTCCGTGTTTATGAGGTGGCCTCAAGACCCACCGTATGAGTGACAAAGGAGATTTAAATCAATATTTATCTGATAATTGAGTAACCTTGGACGCTGCAAAAAAAAAGTGTGGGGGTTGGGAGGAGGAGGAGGAGGGATGTTATCGATGAGTTTGGCAATCGTTATAAGATTGATTTGCTAACATTTTTTTTTTAAATTAGTACTGCGCCAACTCAAGCAGATGTAAAAGTTTACCAAGCTTTCCAAAAAGAATACCCAGCATTCACAAGATGGTTTAACCACATTGCTTCTTTTACCGATGAATTTGCTGAATTGCCTGCTGCTGCTGCTAAGGAAGAAGCCACCGCTGAAGCTGCTGAAGAAGACGAGGATGATGTTGATTTATTCGGCTCAGACGATGAAGAAGTTGACGAAGAAGCTGAGAAATTGAAACAACAAAGATTAGCCGAATATGCTGCTAAGAAAGCTGCAAAGGGTCCAAAACCAGCTGCCAAATCTATTGTCACTTTAGATGTCAAACCATGGGATGACGAAACTGACTTGCAAGAATTATTGGACAATGTGAAAAACATTAAAATGGAAGGTTTGACTTGGGGAGCTCACCAATTCATCCCAGTTGGTTTTGGTATTAAGAAATTGCAAATCAACTTGGTTGTTGAAGATGCTTTGGTTTCATTGGATGAGTTACAAGCTGCTGTTGAAGAAGACGAAGACCACGTCCAATCAACCGATATTGCTGCTATGCAAAAATTGTAATATTCGCAATTAAATAGAAGAATGAAATTATTTTAGCTTTGCTCTACTTGCAATTTACAACAGGGAGAGAAATTGAAAAACAAAAAAAAAATTGTAGTTGGTGTGGATTTTATATCAACTCTCCTTCTGTGCAAAATTCCAAAATGGACATTCGAAATTTGCATAGCACCTGAATTCGTTACTTAGGCCATTTTTATGTTCAGGTAGAAAAGTTGTCATTTTCAAACCAGGGTATAATTTTGGCACAATATCCCTCATTCGCTCTCCAGTTGAGGAAATCAACTTGAATTTAGAATCGCCAGATATTGTTTTTTCCAATCTTGCAGCTCCTGAAACAAGAAGGTTCTGGGCTGCTTTTGCGCTTAATGTTTGGCATTCTTCTTCCAAGAAGGGAGGGTCAATGAGAAGTCTATGACATTTATGCCTGAGGTGACAAGGTAGATTTTCTGGTTTTTTATAATCATATACGCTAAAATGTTCTTTTCCTGCAAGAATCTTGAACCTGGGGTCAAACTCCAATAAGTAAATATGTTTAGTTGGTATTTCGTCTAAAGACAATTGTTTTATTGCCGCAAATACCGAAGGTGCAGAGGCAATCACCACAACAGTATCTTTATCGGCGCCCAGCAACAATGCCCTAGCTAAAGTTTTTGCTGTTTCATCCGAATACCAAAATTGCGAAAGTTGCCAGTCCTCTTTGAAATCATCAATTGTAATCAAATCTTGTTTTTGCTCATCGAATTGACCTTGGCTAGCTTCTACTAAAGACTGAAATTTTTCAAGCCGCTCCTTCTCTTCGTTCCTAAATTCTTGCAAAGCAGATAACGCGTGTGCAGATAGAACTATGGGCTCCTCGTCGGAATCACTCATTTGAAACCAAACCTCAAGACCTAAAACCTAATATTTACTTCCTCTTGTCTAAATGCTTGTTTCCAAATGTCAAGGTTGAAGAGTGAAAAATTTACTCATTTGAATATAGCAGGAGAAAAAAGAACATTACATAATACAATATAGAATATAGAATATAGAATATAGAATATAGAATATAAAGTAGAATCAAGATATATATTGAAAATAGGGCTTGTTTAATTTTGAGAAATACCAAGAGATTGTGCCCTGATATACACTTAAGGCGTTACACTAAAAAGCAGGTAAGTGGGGGGGCACTTTGGCTGAATTTTTTTGGCGGGGTGGTTTTGTTTTTCCTTTATATTTTGGGTTTTGGCATGCTGTTTCCGTGTGCACCTTACGAGGTTGTTGCATTTACTGAAGAAAAACTATCCTTTTCTGGTAGTCAAGGTTTACTACTTTCGGAGCTATGGGTGGAGATACAAGGCAAGTTTGAACAAGAAACTGAGTTGGACCTGTTTCAAAAGCAAATTGTATGGACGTGGCTCTTTTTCGATTCAAGAAGAGAAGCAATAGGAGAAGCAAAAGCAAAAGCAGAGGCAGAAGCAAAAGCAGAGGCAGAGGCAGAGGCAGAGGCAGAGGCAGAGGCAGAGGGAGAAAATGGCGATGATGTCAAATTTTACGTGACTTATGATAAGGAGCCAATTACCATAGAGTCGGATTATCAAACTTTTTTAGCAAAACAAGAAAATCCGGCTAGCTTGAAAGTAGTACCAACAAATGATACCCAGTGTTTTTATTTAACAGGCGAGGCCAACTATGCGCGATGCGTTCAATCCTTGGGAGCTTACCCTTATCAGTTGCTTGTTGAAATTGCCAAGCATGGAGAAAAGGGAGTTTGGTCAGTCGAATTATCTAACTCAACTGGACAAGATAAGAGGTCAATGACGGCGAGGTTAAGTAAGTTGGAACAAGCGGGACTCATAGTGAAAGAACACAGATTTTGGGAAAAGGCAAAACTACATAGCACATGGACTGTACATTACCAATTGGCAAGCAATACCACTTTAGAACACTCAGAAGAGGACCAGTCAAGCAGGACGCCACATAAAATAAGGCAATTTATAATGAAATCATTAAAGGAAGCCACAAATCAAATTCGAACTTTTAGAGATTTGAAAGTGGAATTGAAAATGAACAAAAATGAACAGGCATCTCGTTTGTTCAGCTGTGTTGTTGATACATTATGTGAAAGTGGGTACGTGGAGAGAATAGATGTCCCTGACCAAGAGCATTCAAAGAGACTAGTATATGCATTAAAGTTTTTGAAAGATTTACCAGCACAAGCAGTCGACGACTTTATTGACACTACTGAGTTGCTACGTCGAGTTCAAATCAAGCGAGACCAACAAAAAATAGAGCCATTACTTGTAGAAGAAGGAGAAGATGGTTGTGGTGATGGTGATGGTGATGGTGATGGACGAGGAGCAGGAGGAGATATTGACATAACAATAGCAACATTCAACGATGTTTTTCCTGTACAAACACAAGTTTATCAAGCAATCAAAGAGTCGACAAGTGATGGTCTTACGGCAAAACAGGTAATTCAAGGTATTATGGGAGATACTAACCATCGAGGTATATCAAAACTTCTTGAGGTGACAACGGGCTATCTACTTCTTGGACAAACGCTTATTCCTCAATTAGACTACCCCGAAGAAAACTACCAGATGGCACTTGTTAGACAAAGCGAAACTGATGGTCGGATGAAATTCTACCGCTACTACTCTCGAGATAATGTCAAGGGAGAATTGGAGAAACCGCATAAGAAGAGGAGACCTCAGCGGAAAACCACAATCAAGAGTTTAAAAGATTTAGAACGAGGATCAAAGGTGAAAATTGAAAAGACGCCTAATGGACCTTTACTTGAAATACCGCAATCTATACCAGTTGGTAAAGGGGATAAATGTGAAGATGACGATAATGATCAACTTTTGAGCAAGTTTCTAGAGTCAGTAGAAGAACGTGGCTCGGGATCAAAGACTATTGATAATGATATTAATGATATTAATGATATTAATGATGGTAATGATGAAAATGTGGATGGAGATACAGTGTTTAAGAAAAAGAGAGGAAGGCCGAGAAAATACCCGAACAAGGATGAGTCTGTTTGCGAATTGAATGGTAAAAATATTGTTGAAAGGGGTAATACAAATGGAGCTACTAAGACAAACGAAGAAGACGGTCTGATAACTGTAAGAAAAAAGAGGGGAAGACCAAGGAAATACCCATGTATCCAAGAGTCAACACCAGATTCACAATTTTCCGAAAACCTGCCACCTTTAAATGAGAACGAGTTGGAGTTGGAAATAGGGCAAAAGATCATAGAGGACAGCACACAAAATACACAATCTGAAACAAACACTGTGAAAGCATCAGTACCCGAAAAGAGAGGGAACACATCATCAGAATTGTATGATACTTTGCTGCCATTGAAGAAGAAGAAGAAGAAGAAGAAGCAGAAAAAAGAGTCTGATGAAAATGATAATCTAGATGGTACATTTTCAACAGCGACTCGTGAAATTGGTACAGAGGAGGTGTTTCGCGGTGAAATTGATGACCAAATGGATGTTGATACACAAGAAATACAGCCAGATAAAGAAGCAACAAACTCTAGTCACAATGAACATCTAATATCCATAAAACAAGAGCCTTTAACAACAAATGAGAGTAACAAAAACATTTCATTCACTGATTCCGAAAATAAATCTTCATATGAAGAAGTACCTATTAACCAAAGCCAATCATTTACGCCAGTTATAAAAGATTTATCAAAAAGCAAGAGAGCTCGAAAACCACATGAACGATCAGATCTCATGGCTTCAGACGCAACGGGTGCTTTGCGGAGAAAAAAACTTCTTGAATTGATAAAAGAATTGGGAGGTGTTACAGTAGCCAGAGCAAAGTTGGGAAGAACACTAGATGAAAAGCTAAAATCAGAGAGACCAACAGATCCAAAAACAATTATACGTGATATTCATAAGCTCCTTGAAAGTGGTGATTTAGAAGTTCAACTAATACCTGCAAAAAAGAATGGAAAAAATATACCCAAGAGATTATTGATTCTTACCGATCCCGAAGATAGACCGCTGCCTGATTATATTGAAAAAGTCAAAAACGAGTTTGACAAAATGGACAAAGCTGAGCAAACAGAACGGACGGGACATCAAAAAAGAAGAGTTGTTGAGGACTCCTATGTAGTATTCAATACAAAAGAAGCACTTGCCAAAAACGGAACAAGGTTGGCTTCTTTGAAAACGAAAGCATCAAAGACAAAGCTTGGTGATAGTGGTAAGGTGCATGCATCTGCTCAAGATGGACATGGGCGTATTTTGGAACACGATCACAACCACTACACGAATGGTTTATCATCATTATCACAAAAGGAGATTAATGTGAAACTCGAAGTTGGTGATTATGAAGTAGCAGAAAACTCGAAGGAGCACAAAAAGTCCAGGAAGAAGAGCACTACTAAACAGCAAGGCTCAACAACAACATCAAGATTAAAAATAAGAAGCCGAAAACCACTTCGAGGTCCAACAATTGGATTTCCAATAATTTTTGACAAAAACGATGTCACTATTTTATTCCGTGCAGTTTGTGTTTGTAAAGCGTTTAATAAAGCCACCATTGATTACGAGGCTGTGGCATCATTGTTTCGTGGTTTTGACGGAAAGTCTATAAGAAGTTGCTGGAACCCTGTCAGGACACAATTGGGTGGTCTTGATGCAGTAAACAAGGGCGTGGAAGAGTTTGAGAATATCGTAACGCAAGCAATACATGAAGGATATATCTCCTCGGCTGATTTGAAAAAAGTGCAGCTTTCATTTTTTCTAAATTTGTGGTCAAGCTTTGATACGTCAAAAATCATTATCGCCGATAGAAACTCGTTATTTGATACATTTGAAGAAAATGTGCTTCATTATAATGTGATTGTTACTGAGGATGGGGAGGATATACTTGATCAAAAGGAGTTACTTTCGATGAAACAAAAGGAGGAATGGTTAGCAAACAAACCATTTGACCATTCAATAGTGAAAGTAGTAAAGAGACCATTTGAGGAGATAAGAACAGCATTGATTGCTACATTTAGAACGGCGTCTCTGGAAGTGAACAAATCCGCCGTCGAGCGCGTTCTTTCACATTTTAATGCCGATGACATAAATCTGGCGACACAAGCAATGATTATTGACAAAGAATTGGTTCTTTTAGATTCGAACGTGCTGAAGAAGTTCCAATTGACTGAAAAAGTTTACAGTGCGCTTTCTGTGCTGACACTGGAGTCATTTTTGAAGCAAGCTGATCATTTCAAAGAGATGATTGGAGAAATCACCAGTAGTAATAAGGGATTGGTTTTATCTCAAGGAATAAACGATAGCTGTGTTGCGGAGTTGTTGTCACTTTTGTCACTTGGTTCAATTTCGTTACTTCACGTGGATAAACCTTACAAGTTTGATGGTTATGAGTCAAGAGCGATGGATAAGAATAGTCTTGAGTGTGATCTAGTCATCTATAAAAGCTCAATGAACAATACTCCATGGGAACAAAATGTCACAAAAGCACCAGTACCTTTAGGAAGACCAGGATCATATATATGGTTGGATGCAAATGGGCAGATAGATAGTGAGTTATGGAAAAAAATCATTATTGCCGTGGTTCATTATGTACATTATCGCCCAGGTATTCCATTTGATGTTTTGTATGAGAAATTTCACAATCTTATGAGCCTCTTTGAACTCAATATCGTCATGAAATGGTTAGTTGAAAACAATTGTGTTTTGTGCGGTATAGGGGAAGGATACTGGACAACGAAGAACTGGTTATCAATTCTAGGTCTGTGAAGAGAAGAAGACAGGGAAAGAAAAGAGAAGAAAGAGAGAGGGTAGAGAAAGAACAGTACATGCTTTAGTCAATTGTTGGCATACGAGAGTTCAGTATTTCCCAATCTATGGTTTATGTTCCTCTCGATGAGTAACCATCTCTTTTAATAAAACGAGGATTCATAGCAGCGATTGTCTTTATTTGGTTTCTAGATTACCCCTTTCTTCCTCGAAAATTTAGTACTTCACCAAGTTTTAGTATCATTAGTCAGTGTGCTCCACTATCTCGCTTCGCTCGATAGTGTTAGCTTTGAAATGATTCGAAAGAACAGATAGTAAAACAAGCAACCTGTATATGTACACACACAAATACACAAATCTATATTCTCTTTTCTTTTTTGTTTAGAAATAGGAACCACGACCTGTGTATGTGTCATTATCACTTGCAGCAGCAGCAGCAGCAGTACTTGCTTCTTCTTTTTTAGGCTTATAGGGCTCAATTTTGGATACAGGTATCTTACAACCAATCGGCCACTTTGCGTCATTACCGACAGAAGACCAATGTACAATATTGTCAAATTTCAAGTTGTCGTTCTCCAGAGTAAGCTTTAAATTCAATTTGATCAATTGATCATACAAATATGTCAAGTCATTGAGCACAATTCCGGATTTGTCATTAAATGCCGAATTGTTTAAATCCAATGTTGAGATTGAATTCAAACTTTGCAAGATATCCGCATGTTTTCGATGAGCTACCTTATTTCGTAGTTTTCGCAATGTGACTTTTCTCGATAACATAGAGTCGTTACCAGGTTTCACTTCCTGTTTACTTTGTAATGTCAATAGGCTAAATTGAATCAAGCCAAGAGCATTTCCAAGCTTATCTTCTCTATAATGCTGAATGGCTAAGAAAAATCCAGCGTATGCGCTCACGTATCTTTTAACGAGCTTTAGGTAATCCTCCCAGTCGGTATAATCTAGATTAAGTAGCTCTGTGTCGGCTTCTGATTTCTTACCTGCCGATTGGATAAGAGTTTTCAATAGATTCTGGACTACTTCCAACTCGTTCATGCAGTAAATGGCTACTTTGGCTAGAGTAACGTTATTTTCGGTTGTCACTTGTTCATTGTAGTTAAATGATAATCGATTGATCCAAAGAAACTTGGCTAGTATAGACATTTGAATAGATATTTCACTGATTTTCATCAAGAACGAAAACAACGTGGCATTTACACGAAGCGCACCCTTTGCCAATGAACCTTGATTTGGTTCAATCAGGTCTCCATACATAAAGAAGGAGATTGATTTTTTGTACAAATTAACAATTTGTTTCCAGTTCTCGCTATACTCTTGTGGCTTTTTCTCTGGTATGTCCAACTCGATATTAATCGTTTCATTGAGTAAATCGGAAGCAATGCGCATATAAATCAACCCAATAGATATCAACGTCATCCTCAATTCATTAGCTAGAGTCCATTTTGCCAAAACTACTTTTTTCGTTACAGTATTGAAAAACTGCTTAAACCCAGTCTTGGATAAATCGTTCCAAGGAATATTCGAGCTGAAAACTGCTCGATTAGCATCATTTTGACTTGTAAGCTCGACAATGGCTTCAAGATACTCCTCAAGATTAACAACATACCTAATAGACTCATTGGACGTTGATAATTGCGGCACGTGCAACGCCGCTCTCAATGCAAGAAGGTGACTCGGTAAAACAGACCCCGGTTCCTTCAATTGAATTGGTATGGGCGGCGTATGTGGCAAAACTATCATCGAATGGAACCTCTACCCCCTTCAAAAAAAGAAAACAAAAAAAAAAATATAAAATAATACAAAACATCAGAAGAAAAAAAAAAAAGGAGTGATTGAATTTCGAAACCACCTTGGTGATAAAGTTTCTTTATCAACAAAGACAAACAACTTTGTAACAACTCAGGTCAAAAACTTGAACAAAGTGGATTCAAACAACACCAGATCTGCAATCTTTAGATATAAAAAAAAGAGATTTTCTACTTACCTACGCTTTTCTTTTATTTTATTTCTCTCTCCTCCCAGTGTAGTTGTTGTTTTCTTCAACATTGTGTATTCTTCTTGTTGGTTACTTCTCAGTTGTTCTGTCCAAGGTTTGTTGAACTTTCATTTTCTGACCGCCCCCTATCATTTTTTTTTTCCATTTGATTATCTATACAATTTTTTTTTCCTCTCTTTCTCTCTCTTTAGTAGTTTTCCTTATAGGTAAGTAATGGGACCTTTGCTTTAAAAAAAGGGACAAGTTTGACTTTTGGTAAATGTATTATGTCAGAAGTCGTCGACATTCACACCGATGATTCGTCTAAAAAGGATAAGGACAATAAATATGGTATTGTTATAGATTCAGGTTCATCTGGATCGCGGATTCAGGTGTATAGGTGGAAAAATCCAGCTGTGCTTGCTCAATCGAGTGATGAGACTATTCTTCAATCGCCTCCAAAAATATTCCAAGGGAAAGATTGGACAAAGAAGATAAGTCCCGGGATTTCAAGCTACGGTTTAAAGGGGAAAGTTAAAAAAATATGGTTGAAGCATTATCTGGAGTTGATGAAATTTGCAGAGTCGATTGTACCAGTTGAAAAGCAAGCGGAAACACCAGTTTTTGTATTGAGCACGGCGGGGATGAGGCTTTTACCCAAGAAAACACAAGATGCGATTTTATTGGAAACTTGTAGGAGCATCAAAAGCAATACAAATTTCTATTTGCCCGACTGCAGCTCATTTGTGCAGATAATCGATGGCTCTACAGAAGGTATCTACGGCTGGCTAGGGTTAAACTATTTAATGGGTCTGTTTCAAAATTACGATTCGAAAAAAACCACTAATCACGAGTCGATTGGTTTTATGGATATGGGCGGCGCATCGACGCAAATTGCATTTGTACCTTCTTCTCTGGAACAGATTGAAAAACATAAGGAAGACTTGTCATCAGTAACAATACGCAACATTAATGGGGAAACTCAGGAATGGAATGTTTTTGTTGCCACTTGGCTAGGGTTTGGCGCAAACGAGGCCCGCAAGAGGTATATCGAGCAAATGATTACTTTGGCGTCAGTAAATGAAGAACTTCATAACAACATCAACGATCCTTGTCTTCCAAAAGGTGCATCCATTACCTATGAGTTTCAAGGAAGGCCATACAAAATCAGCGGAGTTGGAAATTTCGAAATGTGTACTAGATCAATTTATCCATTGTTGATGAAAAGCATCCCGTGTGAAGACGAACCCTGTCTCTTTAATGGGATTCACGGGCCCAAATTGGACTTTGAAAAGGATAAATTTGTTGGAATATCCGAATATTGGTATACCGCAAATGACATATTTCAAAGTGGTGGCGAGTATGACTACAAAACTTTTAACTTGAAAGCAAAGGGATATTGTGAAAGCAACTGGGAGCAAATATTGATAAACGCAAAGAATGGCCAGTACTCGGGGTTGGACCCAGATAAGTTCTTGAAGGATGCTTGTTTTAAAGCAACCTGGGTGATGAATGTGTTGCATGACGGGTTTGAACTACCCAGACTCGGGATTGAATTGAACCGAGAGGAAAGCGGTGATGCGGATGTAAATGATGTTACAGAAAAACACGTTCCGTTTAAATCTGCCGAGTCCGTAGGCGGCGAGGAATTATCATGGACTTTAGGCAAAATATTGTTGTATGCATCATCACAGATTGAGCTGTCTAATAAGGATAGTGGTAGTATGAAAATTGGAATCCAGCCCAGTGATATTTCAGGCAATTCCTTTATACCGGGTGGCACTACAATTGGCAAAGAGTATTTCAATGAGGAAGATTATAGCGATGATGAAAAGGATAGCGCTTTTGGTCATGCGGTTTACTCGATTTTGTTTTTTTTGTTGTTGATTTTTTTCATTTACAACTTCGGTAAAGGTCATTTTGGGAAATGGAAAAATGGGATTCACAGGTTTCATTTTCCGCCAAGAGAGCTCAAGATGCGAATAAATTCTGCACTTTCCAAGGTTCCAGTCTTTGGCAGATTTCTCAAGCTTACTGGCTCGTACCAAGAGTTGGAACGAGATATCAACTTAGAAGAAGGAATTGGGTTTAACGGTCAGAGTGGGTCACCATTAAAAAATACCGTCCCGCATCTGTCAGTGTTGAGGACACGGCTGGCAATTGATATAAACGATGAATACGAGTCCTCCACGCGAGTCTCTCCTGTACAAAATGTATCAAATACGGCGAATAATTTGCATTTTAATCCTAGAGTCAATAATTTTTTGAACAAACCATTTGTTGTTCCCAAGAAGAATGGACAACCATATTATTTTTTTTCAGAGAACAACAATAGTAGAGAGTCACTTTCTAGAAACCCAACTGGCTCATCCATTGTGCGAACAAAAAGCTCTATGGAGTAAAAAAAAAAACGTTTATATAGAAATACTAGATAAATATATCAAAGTAGATGGGTAGGTATTTTTCTTTTTTTTTTTTTTTTTTAATTAACCTTCTTCTTCTCTATATTAAAAAAAAGAAGAAAAAAAAACTGTTTTTCGCAGCCAAAGCATTCCCATAACGAAATTACATGATCAAAAGTTGAAAGAGAAAAAGAAAATATACCGAGATTTAGCTCTCTACAGGGGTAGATTATTTGTAGTGAGTAAATGTTGTTCATTAAGCTTGTTATTGCTTTGCATCTACATTTTTACCAAGCATTTGGAGCCATAGTTCCCTTTAGGGACTCAATTGAATTAGTTTTCACTCCTGAGGACGTGAAGAAGGGTACAGACTATGTACTATGGAAAGTTCCCAAGGTGAAAAATGACTTTAAAACCACTGTAAAGCAGAAGTTGCTCAATCGGTTATTATCTAAGGATATACAAGAGTTAAATCCATACTATACGGGAGATGAGATTGAACCAATGATGGCGAATCCGGCACTTGAAACAACAACAAATACAGCGAACATGATGGCTGCGAAAAACAATGTACAGAATATCGAAATTGAAATAACCAAACCTAGAGGATTTGTCAATTCCGTACTAAAAGGACCATCTCCTACGGAGAAAGAAAAAGCCAAAATCCGTTACATCAATGAGGAGAACAATGAAATGGTACATAACTTGGCTACAAATGGTGAACCCGAGGTTGGGAAACAAATTGGTATATTGCCACAATCAGAACATGTGGGATACCTTAGTCCCTCACAAATTAAAAATCAAAAACACAAGTTCGACATTAAGCATGTGCCTAGTAGAGACTTTGAGAATCATATACAAAACGATAATGATTCTTCTGATGATGATGGGACTTTGATTGATCAAAAAGATGAAGATGTCGTAACAAATGTAGATTCCTTTTATGATGATGATGATGTTTAATAAAAGGTTTATTATTATTATTAAGGGGGCTCAGAAACGAAACCCCCCTTAAAAGAAATAAACCATATCTTTTATAACTCATTTTACACGACCATCTCTTTTTGAGATTTTTTTTTTTTTTTTTTTTTTCTTTTTAAAGAAGTCATCTCATCTCATCTCATCGGGGAACTTTGTAGCTAGCTTTATCATTCTCTATTACTGCAAGATGAGGGTCAAGAAGCCGACTTCGAAAAGAGTCACCACTCGTATGAGAGAGGGGATTAAAAAGAAAGCTTCTGCCAAAAGAAGGAAAGATCGAAAATTATCAAAAAAAGACGTGACATGGAAGTCTAGACATAGAAAAGATCCTGGTATACCTGCTAGTTTTCCGTATAAAGATCAGATAATAACGGAGCTAGAGGAGAGCAGGCGTGCTGAGAGAGAAAGAAAAGAGGAGTTGAAAGCCCAGAGGCGTAAAGAAATACAGGACGCTATAATGAGAGGAGAAGAAGTTAATCAAGATGACATGGAAGAGGAGTCTCTTGACGATGATGATGATTCTGAGGAGGGGGCAAATGGATTGAGTGCATTACTAGAATCTGCACAACAAGCGGCAAGAGAATACAACGGAGAAGGAGATGGCGATAATAACGCCGCGATGATGGATTCAGATAATGAAGAGGATGTAGAATACGAATTGAGTGAAGTTGAAGACGACGACCAGGACGAAGAAAGGGGGGTTTTAGAAAAATCACGCAAGTCCTACGATAAGATATTCAAAGCAGTTGTTGATACATCGGATGTTATTCTATATGTGCTTGATGCGAGAGATCCCGAATCTACAAGATCTCGAAAAGTCGAGCAAGCTGTATTGCAGAATCCAGGTAAAAGACTTATATTAATCTTGAATAAAGTAGATCTTATTCCTACGGAAGCACTAAATCAATGGCTCAATTTTTTGAAGTCATCCTTTCCAACTATACCTATTAAAGCTACACCAGGAGCCACAAATGCAAACTCTTTTAATAAGAATTTGACAGGTAGCATGACAGCAGATACTTTGTTGAAAGCTTTAAAAGCTTTTGCAAGCAAATCAAACCTTAAAAGATCAATCATTGTAGGGGTGATTGGGTATCCCAATGTGGGGAAATCTTCAATAATTAATGCATTAACAAAAAGACACAATAACCATTCCAAAGCATGCCCCGTCGGCAATCAAGCCGGTGTGACGACCTCTATGAGAGAAGTCAAGATTGATAATAAGTTGAAAATTCTTGATTCTCCAGGTATTGTATTTCCTGATGAGATAATGAACGCCAAAAAGCAATCCAAACTGGAACAACTCGCCAAATTGGCCTTGTTATCAGCAATCCCTCCAAAGCAAATAACCGATGCTACTTTTGCGGTGAAACTTCTTTTGAAGAAATTTTCAAACAATACAGAAATGGCTGAAGGATTAAAGAGTTATTACGAGTTACCTCCTCTTCCTTCATCAGACTTGGATGAATTTGCAAAACACTTTTTAATTCATATTGCTAGAACCAAGGGCAGATTGGGGAAAGGTGGTATTCCAAACTTGGAATCAGCAGCAATGTCTGTGTTGAATGATTGGAGAGATGGTAGGCTCATTGGATGGTCTTTACCTAAAGCGTCTAAGCAAGCAAGTGCCGCCGATCTTGTTGCCAATATAGATGCTCCTAAAAGCTCTCTAAGAAACGAACGAGAACCTCCAAAGATTGAACAAACTACAATAGTCTCTACTTGGGCAAAGGAGTTTGATTTGGATGGGCTTTTGGGGCAAAACTAAACAGTATACAAATAACTCAAAATAGTTGACCCTTTAATAGAACTCGTCTCACATGAATAGCTCTTATTCTTTGTAAACAAGTGCCCTTTGTTTTATGTGCTTCCCTTTCCATCTCATCTCATCTCATTTTTTATTTTTCTGTTGATTGAGAATTATACGCGTTTGTAATTGAAATTTTCATTCTACGCGATTTATGTGACTTTTTTACATTTGACAAGAGAAAGTGGAGATGAGAGATGAAGCAGAGGACGACGATTGGGAGTTTCTGGATGACGAGAATATCGAAACTACTCATGGTAGTGGTGGTGGTGGTGGTGGTGGTGGTGGTGGTAGTGCAGTAAAAACTATAGATGATTTAGTGTACAAAGTGAGTATACCTACGCATCATGAAATGGATTTCCACAATCTCAAAACTTATATATACCCTACCAACTTTGAGATTCGGGACTACCAGTACGATATTGTGAGATCGGCCTTTTATCATAATTTATTGGTTGCACTTCCCACGGGTTTAGGTAAGACATTTATAGCGTCCACTGTTATGCTAAACTTTCTACGATGGTTTCCTAAAGCCAAAATAATATTCGTGGCGCCAACTAAGCCGTTGGTTGCGCAACAAATTAAAGCCTGTTGTTCGATAACTGGGATCTCAAGTTCTAAGGTGGCCATTTTGTTAGACAAGACAAGAAAGAATAGGTGGGAGATTTGGGACTCTCAGCAGGTATTTTTCACAACACCACAAGTTGTGGAAAATGATTTAGCGTCAGGAATAGTGCATCCAAAATCAGTGGCATTGCTTGTTATTGATGAAGCCCACAGAGCTAGGGGTAACTATTCATACAATAATGTTGTCAAGTTTCTCAAGCGGTTCAATGACTCATTTAGAGTACTAGCCTTAACAGCAACACCAGCAGCAGATGTAGATGGTGTTCAGGAAGTGATTGACAATTTACAAATTTCCAAAGTAGAGGTGCGTACAGAGCAAAGCCCCGATATCATAAAGTATATGAAGAAAAAAAATGTTAGCAGACGTGTTTTGGATACCTCGTTGGAGATTAAGGAATGTGTTGAACTTTTGTCCGCTGCAATTACTCCTGTTCTTAGGTCAGCTAATGAAAAGGGGTTGATAGACGTAACTGACCCGTCAAGAATTAATGCGTTTAAATGTATGGAAGCTTCACGAAGGCTTATATCGAACAATTCCATTCCTGAGGGTTTAAAATGGGCCAACTATTTCATATTACAGCTTTTGGGAACCGTGGGGCAGTGTTATAGACGGTTGAATATTTATGGAGTTAATTCGTTTTACAGTTATTTTAATGAAAAGTATAAAGAGTTTACAACGAAATGGAACAAGAAAAAGTCCAAGAATAAATTGAACGCCGATTTTTACTTTAGCCAACCTATCAAACAATTGATGGCGAAGCAGGAAAGTGTATTGTCCAGTCAAACTTTCAGTCATCCCAAGATTGAAGCTTTGATGGAGGAGCTAGATGATTTTTTTCAAGATGAATACAAGACAGACTCAAGAGTGATTATTTTTACAGAATTTAGAGAGTCGGCATTGGAAATAGTCAAGACACTTGAAAAAGCCGACGCACGATATAAACCACATATTTTCATTGGACAAGCAAGGGAAAAGGAGAAATTTGATGAAGAGAATTTTGGCAAGAAGACAAAGACGAAGAAAGGCACAGTAGATAAGAACAACAAAAAGAAGGACAAGAATAAGAGTGGATTGGAGATTGAAAGGGACTCAACAAGAAGTAGTTCAGAGAGTGCTCAAATTAGTGGTATGAATCAAAAATTGCAAAAAGAAGTTATAAAACAGTTTAAAAATGGTGATTATAATGTGCTAGTAGCTACTTCAATTGGTGAAGAAGGTTTAGATATAGGAGAAGTTGATTTGATTGTATGTTATGACTCAACAGCATCACCAATCAAAAACATTCAACGTATGGGTAGAACCGGTCGTAAACGTGACGGTAAGGTTCTTTTATTGTTTTCGAGCAATGAAGAAGCAAAGTTTGATAGGGCAATGGCCGGTTACGAATATATCCAAAACCACATCATGAAGGGTGATTTGATTAAACTTTGTCAGCAGAACCGAATAATACCTGACAAGTTTACACCTATAGTTGTGAAAACTTTTATAGAGATACCAGAGGAGAATATGATTATTAAACAAGAAGAAGACGAGGATGAGATCATTCGTATAGCGACACAATGCATGTTGAAGAAGAGCCCTGAAAAAAAGCGTCGATATGTGAAGAAAGAGAAACGACCAAAGCAATTTTTTATGGCTGATAATGTTGAAACTGGGTTTCAAACCGTTACAAGTATGTTGAAAAAGAGTGAAGGTATAAAAAGAGCCGAGAGACCAAGCAAGAGAGCTTTATTGGATAGTGTAATTGATTCCAGTGGTGATGAGGTGGCAATGTTTAGAGTCCAAGATAAAAATCAACAACAGCAACAGCAACAACAGCAACAACAGCAACAGCAACAACAAGAACAGGATAGTATTGAGGAGTCTCCAAGTGAAGACGAGAGGGTAAACAAAGCTGACCATTTCACACCCGCTACTTCCATTCTTGACAGCAATGATGTCATACCTGCATGCTCTACATTTGGAGAGATTCTGAATCAATCACGAGTTCATATCGACCTTTCAGATGATTTTTCGTTTAGCGAAGAGGAAGATGAGCCTGCTCTTAAGGGGAGAATAAATGAACCTCCTGATCATGCAGGGGCTAATGAAACGAGAGCGGGACAATCTCACAGAAAATCACCAAGAAAGAGAAACCTTATTCAGGAAGATGAATTGAGTGATGAGAATGGGCAGGGTAAATCATTACTGCCATTACCACCGCTATCTTCATCATCACCTTCGCGGCCGAAAAAGAAATCGTTAGGTGTAAAACGACTCCGAGCTCAGACGGCGAACGTCCAGCCTCCAAGAGAGAAAAAAACAAAAATATTTATTGACGATGACGTTTCATTTAAACCAAATACAAAAGGGGGGGTACCTTCCAGTTTTGACGATTCATTCGATGATGATGATGATTTAGATGAGGTTATAGCCCATTACAGGTCTTTAAAACGAGCATAAACTAATACAAAGTAACAAGCAGCAGCAGTAATGCATTATCAACCGCAACAGGTACTCTGCTTTTCCCTAGCAAGACTTTTTTTTTTTCCTTTTTCTTTTTTGGGGCCATCACATTTTATGGGGGGGGGGTGGGGTAAGAGTCTAAAACATC